AGAACACATGTTCAAGTACCTATCTCTGCCAGCACTCCAATTTCTGACCACAACATTGTTAGCTCCACTCCTCATGCCTGGCGTAGCACCCATGCACAGAACTGCATCAGTCCAATACACTGCAGAGAGGAGCTGCAGGAACTCCCTGGGCCAGCTCTGCCCCAACACTGGGGGACTGCGGCCACGTGAATGCAGGGAGAAAGGCAGAGGGTTCCAGTGAGAGCCTAAAGCCAAAACTACTTGCTCTCACCAGTGCTTGTAATTCATGATTTTCACGAGTGCTAAATTCATTCAAAAAATTGGCAAGGAAATCGTGCATTCTTGGGAGGATAGGAGTAAAACGTGTTTACTGGACTCTTCTTTGTTTGCTTTAAATAAGGCATATGGGGTGGGGAATAATCTGGAGACCATCAATGCACTATACTTGCCTTAAAGTGATTAAAAGCATGGTCCAGAATAGCAGCTACTGAAATGCCTTTTGTTCGGATGGCCTTCTGGCTCGCCTAAAATTTGAGGAAGTATCAACTCATTTCCCACCCAACAACTCCCACAAAATAACTGTTTTTTTTCAAGGTGAAGTGTCCGGGGGGGAATAACAAAGGGAAAAAAAAAAAAAAAAAGAGGAGACAGGGAAGTTAATTTCCCATCTAATCAGCAGAGATTGTGCTCTCCTGCACCAGTTCCCTACCCAGTGGTGCTGACCTCTGCAGAGTGGCTTAGCAAGGGTAAAGGAAGGCATCTGCAAAACGGATTACCAGGGAGAAGGCTCAACCAGCTACGCTGTGCTGATGTCTTTAGCAAAGTTGCTGCTATAAGCACAGGAGAAGCAGAACTGATGTGAAAAGCAAGACTGTTGGGGGCCCAAGAGACAGGAATACTGTGAAGAGAGACTATCCACAAGTTCAGGGGGAAGATGAGAAAGGGTAGTTGGTCCAGCCCCCAAAAAAACAATTGCTGCTCTAAAAGAAAGTCAGCCAGGGCCTTCAGACATCTGCACATCCATGGTCTGTGCTGTGGAAAAATGAAACATTTTCTCAAGGAAGCACAGCTCATTTTTCCTCAAAATCCAAACAATTTTAGCAAACATCCCAGCAGGAAAAAAAATACTTTTGAGAATCTCACATTCTCCCTTACTTCCCCCTTTCCCCCCCCCCCCCCCCCAATTTTCCATCCTGTCCTACAGTCAAAAAATAACCAAAGATCTTTCTTTGTATTTGGTAAATACAGAAGCTCAGATCTGTCATATTAAGAATTACCAGGAGCAAATATTTATGGCAGAGTTGGAATCCCTTTTAAAATCAGGACTTATATTTGTTGCACTAATCATTATGATGCCACCAGGCATGGTTATAATTAGAAAACACTAGAGGTCAGTCATCCTTTTTGCTGTGCAAGTGCGTTGCAATATGATTACAAACAACAGCTGGATGTTAACAGCAAGGCAGGGATGAAGGGGAAGTGTTTACATACTCAAGCACAAGGATGTCAATACAAGACCAGAATAGTCAAGCAGCTAAAGCCATAAGAGGACATGTCCTCAGCAGTTCGGGATGGGTCTGAAAGAAGTCCTTCAAGCACTTCGACAACCAAAGCAAGTGAAGAGTGCTCAGCTACCCATTTACTTGTTTTGACTTAATAGCTACAGTTGTTTGAAGATGAACATGAGGTCTTTGTTATCACCTTCTTCTATCATGATCTTCCCATATGCCACAGGAGAAATGAGTATACCAACAGCATGGTATATTGCTTTACCTCATGCACAGGACTCTACTTGGCTACAAACAGAAAAATCTCTGCTGCTTCAGTATAATACTTTGAAGCCTTCCACTACACATACAAATAAGCTCAAGCTTGCATAACTCGGAGTATGACATACAGATAGCACAAGTTTGCAGACTCTAGGCAGCCACTTCTGTAGCCAGCAAGTGTCCAGTTCTTGTAGCTTCAAGAGATTTGCTTATTTAAGTATTCCCAGAGACAAGACAGACCTACTGGGGCTCTGACATGGTCAGACAACCCTAAGGAGTACAGTAGCAGGTCTCCCTTCCACACATGCTGCTTTTCCTTTTCACTATGCCAGTTTCTTGGACATCCAAGGCTTAGTTCCGCTGCTCTGATCTTGCCTATCCCATAAAGTTAACATAAAGGGCTACAGTCAACTTCAGGAAAAGAAAAGCTGTAAGAATTCAGTGAGTTTCTCTTTCTAATTGGCACCACATACATTATACCGATAACTTCACAAGCAGATGATCTTTTCCCTCTGATGGTTCTTGCCTGCAGGATTAGATTCCCCACAGACTTCGCCTGGCAGAACAAAAAGAAAGTCATGACCCAATAAAGTCATTGCAGTAACACACAGTGCCTACATGCATAAGGAGAATGGTTTGCTGTCTTCTTCCAGTTTGCCTCCTACAAATGAGAGATTACATCTTTCTACAGTGAAGCAAAGCAGATTTAAAGTGATTTTGCTTCACCCAGGCTGACTTCACAGACAGGGTATGTCATTCAGCTAAAGAGTGTGCTACAGGATCACAGGATTAAAACCCAGAGTTTTCACAAAGTCGATGCTTCAATCCCATTGTTACACATCTAATTAAGACTGAATGCATCTAGCTCCATAATGGCAAGGCACCAGCAAAGGGCCCTGGAGATGTGGGGATACCTACCAGTATACCAGTGTTTTTCCTCTGTGGATTCTCCCCTTAGACATTAGAGCCAGGATTCTTCCTAGATATGCATGAGCATGGATCCAGCTGTAAAACACATCCACCACACCTCCAGATTTGACCAGCTGCTTATAACTGGCTTCCTGCCTTCTCTCTACCAGGAATACCCTGACCCTTCTCAGCACTAATCTCCAGCTCCTTTCTAAAGAATTGTCCCAAGATCTGGAGTCTATCCACCTGCTGCCTCAGCAAGTGTTCATGTGCCAGATGTCACAGGATATATCTGGGACTAAACACCAGCAGCCAGCACGTACGCTCTCTCTGAGTACCATACACATTGTGTTACAGCAGGGAAGCAGCATGGGACCTATGGCTCCTGAGATCTGCCACTCTAATATTACCCATATGGATTGTAATGCAGCCTCATCAAGGCCAGAAGCAGCTCTGCCACTGGCCTGTAGGAGTGGAAATGGATTCTAAATCTACCCAGGCTCAAATAGCTTCTACTATAGCTTTTTACCCAAGATATCCTCTTTCAGCCTCTTGAAGGTTATGAGGATGCAGTTTACAACTGAACACAAAGAGAATTTTCCCACTGAAACCTAAATGCATGACTTTTATACCAATCATGATAGGTCTGGTCTGAAGTGGAGCAATGCACAGAGGAAACAGCCCTGGGCCAAGACGCAAGACCCATAGCCTATTAAAAGAAAACATTATTTTGGGTCCACAACACTGAAGAGGATCTTAATTGTACAACCAGCATTCTATTGCTTGACATACCTAACTCTGAGCAAGTCACTTTGTTCTCTGCCTTGATCTCCTCAAACACAACTTGACTGAGAACAGCAACCACCCCAGGAAAGCGCTTTCTGATTTACAGAAGAGAAGTAGCACAGGAATGCGGTGTGCTGATTGCTAGGGGTGCACAATGGTATTGTAGACAAGGAAATCGCTCAGAAGAAGACATACCATGCCACAGAGAGAACCCATACTGCAATCACCAACATTTACTGTTACTGGGATCTCAGTAGAGGAAGTGGATGTAACAGTACCAGGTGTGCCTTGAAACTGTGACGAGTGCAAATTTGAGTGCTAACGCTAGCCCCTCACGGAGCTACTACCAGACAGGAAGGGGCCTTTAGGAACAAGTTCAGTGTAATAAAATTAAGTAATAATATAAAAAAAAAAAAACAAACAACAAAACCCCCAGACAATGTGTTAGCACATCTTTTAGAAAAGCGGAATGTCTATGGTAGCCTTCAGACCATTTTGCTCTAAAAGCAGAATCTTTACTAATGATGCTTTTCTCTTCTTCTGGAACATAGGGACTTGCTGGCTCCTGAGCGGTGGCAGCTTTTTGCCTGATGCAGGCTGTGCAGAAGGCCTGATGGACTGAACAGTTCTCCCAGCCAGGAAACAGCACAATGCAGACTTAGTACCTGGCTTACATGCAAGGATCACAAAGAAAAGGCTTCGTTTTTCATAGTACCATGTCACATCCTGTCACATAACCCAGGATGTACTGGGTAAGATGACCATCACACTCACTGTATGCAGAAGACCAACAATTTGCTCCTGGAGTGTAACCCTCGGTTGTCAAGCCAAAGCAGTGAACCAAGAAAAACAAATGTGGGCCTTCTGAGAACCACCTGTGGGTGTGCTAATTTACCACTGACTTCACTGGTACTTGCTGTAACGCGTCTACAAATGTGAGCTTACCCAAACCCTCAGGCCATATCTAAATTAGAATAGCGTGATATTAAGAAAAAGTGTTTGCCAACATATTTTAATAGATGTAACTCAGACATAGGTTTAGGCAATTCTAAAGAAGCCGATCAGAAACAAATTTTATAAAACTATGCCACAAGCATGTGAAAAAGGCAACCATTACATACAAACACTTGAATCTTAACTTTAGGTAGCTCTGCACAGACCGCTCTGGCATGGCTTAGTGCCACAGGTGGCATTTCAGCACTTTGCCAAAGCCCTGGCACCAGACTCCAGAGGTGCTGGGGGCACTGACCACTGTCCCCTCGAACCCAACACCCACAGCTCACACACCGCACAACCTGATGGTGACCTGATCTCCTGGATTCACGTGTGTGACTAGCCCAGGATAAAACACAGGGCTCCCCTAAATGCTGCCCTTGAGAACCGCACAAGTTTGGGGGAGCAAAACTAAGCCCCCTGCCCCACGCATCGTGCTCAGCACCAGAGGAGACGCGGGGAAGGCATCTGAAGAAACCGGAGGAGAGGGGAAAGCAACGTCCCTGCTGATGCAAGGAGGCAGTGAGGGGTGAATAAAGGTTTTTAAACGTGGCTGTCACTTACTTGTCCAGAATGAAGTAGAGATCAAAGGCACCGTGACAGGAGCGCTGCTCTTCTTGCTCTTCCTCCTCCTCAGGCCGGGCGCAGGAGGTTAGGCTCCCGCTCGCCAGCAAGAAGCAGCACAAAAACGCCGCTTTCTCCACGCCGCTCCTGCAACTCGCCATCTTTTCCCTTCCTTAAGTCTTCTTCCTCCCCCAGTCTCCCTCTGGCTGCCGACCTTACAGTATGTTCGGAAGCGCCAAGGGAGGAGAAAAAAAAAGAAAAAAAAAAGAAAGAAAAACCACAAAAAACAACCTCACCACCACTGACTTCAGGATCTCAGCTCAGCCCCGCGGGCTCCGGACAGCCCTGCCCGCTGGCTCAGGGCTTGCTCAGGGCTGGGGGATGAACCCGGCCGGAGGGTCCCCAGAGCCCTGTCCCCATGCCCCAGCGCCTGCCCCCAGCGGCTCAGCCCCGGTCCCGCAGGGCGCGGAGCGGCTCCCTGCGCAAGGGCCGGCAGCAGGAAGGGGCAGAGGGAGGGGAGCGGCGGGGGGAGACAGGATCTTATGGGGGAAAGCTGAAGCGGGACTTTCCTGTTCCGGGATGCCGAGCGGGGAAAGGCTGCTGCGAGTGGGGGGACCGGGGGAAGGGAGGGAGGGAGGGGAGAGCCTCCCGTCCCGTCCCGGGCTGCTCCGGGAGGAGAGGGGCAGTGGGGAGAGGGGGACCAGGTCGCTCTAGGGGTGATGGGCATCATTGCAAAAACCTGGGAGAAAGCAGGGGCGAGGGGGGGATTACGTGGTGCGGGCACATGTGCGAAATTGGGTTGCAGGGGACGAGGGTAATTGCAAAGTTTCTTGCCTGGGGAGGGGCGAAAGGACGGCGTTTTCACGCCTGTCTTATGTCACGGCAAACTGCTTCGTTGCTGTGGTAGAAAACTGAGTTTGCTCTCGCTGCGTCCAGCAGGCAATGAATAACGCTGAAACGAAAATCTCTTGATGGGGGCAGCAGAATCCCACCCGCCTGCCACCCGCAGGGCACAAAGCGCTGCCCCGAAGAGCTGCCCCAGCTCATCTGGATGCTGCTTCCAAATTTTGCATAACTGCTGGCTGCCAGCCACTTCTCCCTCCCCCACAGCCGCTGCAGCTCCTAATTAATGAAAAGAGCCACGGGGAGGGATGCGAGCGGAGTCACTTTGCATGACGGGCTTGGGACTAGACGTTTCCCTCTTTCTTGGGGGGAGGCTTTCGAGCAAGATTCAAGGGCGAGGCGATTCGCATCCCCCGTGGGGTGCTGGCACGCCGCCCCCCAAACACCCATCGCTTCGCTGGGGGCCGTGTCATGGGGGGGGGCTCCGGCCGCTTTTCGGGAGCCACGAGCAGAAAGTGACACCTCCTCCCAGCGACAAAGCCTGCGCCGAGGGGGTGCACGGCCCCCGGCGAGGCACAGCACGGCTGCAAGGGCCGCGGGGTGCTCCCTGCAGCCCCAAGGGGCTCTGTCCCGGGCCGTGTCCCCATGCACCCATCGGTCCCTTTCCTCCACGCACGACACGGACACGCGTGGAAGCGGCTCGCCCCCGCCGCCCCGAGCCCCTGCCCCGTAGCAGCCCCCCGGTTTTCCGCTCTCCCGGTTAAATCCCTGCGCGGTTCGAAGACGAGCGCATCGCCCGAGCTAACCACTTGAAAAGTTTTTTTGTGCGCCGGCCAGCTCGGACCCAGCGATTACTTAGATCATGGAGAAATCCAAGAAACCCACATCCTCCCTGGTGACATTCACAAAAAATGAGCAAGCGGCTGCTGGGCAGCAGGAATCCCCCGTCCTCCCGCTCCGCCCCGAAGGTGCCCACTAGCGTCGGTAGCCTGCGCCTTCCCGCAGCCGTTCCGCAGCCCCGGCCCCTTGTCCCGGCGCCGTGTCCCGGGCAGGTCGTGATAACGATTGGCACTGCCCAGTGATTATCGCGACTGATGCTGGGAGCCCCCGGCCGTCCCGCAAGCGTGGGTGCTGCGGGTGGCTTGCGGCCGTCCCCAGAGCCACCGCCGGGCTTCCCAGCCTGGCGTCCTCACCGGGGCGGACTGGGGACGGCCCGGGACGAATTCGGCTGGACAGGCACCGGGTACGGAACGGGAGAGAGTCTCGCCACGTCTGCTCACCCCTTTCTCACTCCTTCTGTAGCTATTTGCGCAAAAGCCGCGCAAACGTGAGCGCTTGCGGCACGAAGCGCAGTGGGGATTGCCCATCCCGGTGTGCCGAGATGCCTTCCTGGCCCGGCCCGGGGGGGCGATGGGGCCGGCAGCACCCAGGTACCGGTGGGGGGCTCGGCGCTGCCCGTGCTCGGCCCCGGGGGATGCGCGGCCCCGGCCCCGGCCCCGTTATAGCGCGCACCGAGCCCGGAGGTGCCTCGACCCGTTATCGGTGTGAGATTACTCCCTAATTGTAGCGAAAACCCGCCCTTTCAAAAGCATTAAAGGCTTGACGTTTCTTTTTCCGATACAAGCCAATATTCAGATTACATGGACACTAATCAAATAACCCGGGCTATTCCCTTTGTCAACATGCTCATAAGAATCTTCTGCCAGGCGTTAAAGGCATTTATAGGGAACGACATCTTTCAAAACCGATGTTGCTTAGTCCGGATTTAGAAAATATTTGATTATGACAAGACGTTTGATGGTTATATTTTACATACCAGCTGTGCCATAAATCGTTTCATACCTCAAAGAAATTCCTAATTTTGTTTCCTGCGAGTGCTTTCTATGAAGCAGGGATTTCCATTTCTAGCCATCCTTACCCATACCTGCAGCTCCCCGAACACCACGATAATAAACCAGAAGTGGTATCAGGCGCCGCCGAGGAAGGCTTAGGAAGATTTTTCCATCCCCCCCCCCCCCCCAACTTTAGAAGAAACTCCTCTTTTTAAAGTACCGCTACAAGGGGAATCCCCTCCACCTCCCGAGCTCCCCCCCCCCTTCCCCCGCTGCACTTCGCGGCCGCTCCCGGGACCGCCTCTGCCTCGGGGGGACTCCGCGCCCCTTGGGGGCCGTCGGGGATCCCTGGGGGAGGCTTTTAGGGGGCGAGGGGAATTAAGAGGGAGTCGGGGCGCCGCGGTGGGCGTTATCCTGGGCGGGGAGCGGCGGAGGGGGAGGAGGAGGAGGAGGAAGCCGCCGTGCGGGGGGCGCAGGGGGGGCGGATCGGGGCCGGCCGCGCTGCCGCCGGCAGACCGAGGGCAGCGCCCGGCGGAGCGGGGGGCTCCGAGCCGTCCCTCCCGGCCGGGCAGAGCCCTCCCGCAGCGGGTAAGGGCGGCGGAGTGCGGGGACGGGGCGGGGAGGGCGGCCCCGGGGGTCCGAGACCCCCAGAGGGGTTCCCCGGGGAGCGGAGAGGGCGTGGAGGGGGAGCACGGAGAGATCCGCTGTGTGGGCCGGGGGAGATGGGGCTGGGGGCGATGGGGTTGTGGGTGATGGAGATAGGGAGATGGGGCCGGGGGGGATGGGGAGATGGGACCGAGGGTGATGGAGCCGCCGTGCTGCAGCCCCTCCTCAGATATCCCCAGGAGTTCCTCCCGGCGAGCATCCCCTCGAGCATCCCTTGCCCTTTTTGCTGCTCCCCTCGTTCGACCGGCTCCCATCGCGGCAGATCGGTGCTCGGGGTCTGGACTCTTTGGAGAAATTGGTGAAGTTTCTTTGCAATATCTCGCGTCGTTATTCTGTATTTGTATAGGGTATAACGAGATCTGCGCTCCTCTGCAGAAATTTCTGAGCGGGTCAGTAAGTTAGGAACTGCTGTTGTCACCTGGAAATGTCATATTGGGCTTTACGTTTGCAAATCCTGCCATGAAAAGGTTTCCGTAGGATTGAAGTCCGGTACCAGTGTGTGAAGCCTCTTCATACCTTCATTCTGTGATCAGACAGGAACTAGTCGTAGGAAATGTCAATGAAAACTTGATGGAGGATATCATTTTTATGCAACTCTGCATTTTCAGTAGAGTTGCTCTTAAATGAAAAGTGGTCGTACTCATGCGTTGAATTCGGGAATTTAAAAAGGATTGTTCAGGAGCTATTCTTTGTTCGTGGCTTTTGAAAATGCCGAATTTAGTGCTCGACAGCTCTTGCTACCATTTGTTAAATACAATTGGTACTACAGAGAGAGGGATTTATTTAGGCAATAGGAAGACAGAGGTATTACATTTAGTATTTTTTAAAATGTGTAAAAGTAGATAAAATCACAAGTCGTTTTTCGAGAGAGCACATTTATTCGGTATTTATCATCCTCCAGTATTCTGAAGCAAAATAGAGCTGCCGTATAGAACTCTACAGAAATACCATCTTATAGGAGAAAAAATAAAGCTCTATAGCCATAGAAATATTGATGTAAAGTCAAAATATTACTTTAGCTTCTATTACCTAAATGTAAGATAACCAGATAAGAAAAAAACAATAAATTCTTTGTAAGAAATTATATATTATATGGAAGATTTGGCAGAATTAATTGCCTAAATCCTAGCATGTTATATGCATGTTTTTTTTTTTTCTATGTTTATAATGCAGTGAATCAGTATGATTTTCCTACAGCACATGTTACTTGAAAATGCTATTAATAAACACCAGCTAAAGAACAAAGTATTTAATTGGGAAACAAATTATTTTAGATCAGAACTGCTTTAATTTACAAAATTCGCTTTCGATTACAAGGTTTCTTCGCTTCACCATAGTATAAAATAAGTTGTTTGTGTTATTTCCCACAATTTCACATTACATAGTGTTATTCAGATCAGTTACTGGCTGTTAGTGGAGTAGACATTATGTAGTTTAGAATTAATGTAAATAACATTAAAGTAAGTGACTGTTACTTAGTACAGTTGAAGTAATCTCATGTATTAACCATGTGAAAGTGACTCGTCGTAGTTTTAAAATATTTTTCTTCATATGCAAATGATAAATATGCTAAATTGCAAAAGATTATATAGCTGTATGTGAATATATATATGGTTGTGAATGCATGTGTATTTATGTGTAGACATATACGTGCACACAAATATATTAGTTTCTTGTCAAAAAGAGGTGTTTGAACAAATATCACATTTTTTAAAAATCAAGAGCTATCAAAAATAAATAGCGTGAGTGTTAAATGGAAGCAAGCTTCTTGAACATCAATCAGATAAAGTCATTTCTCTGAATTTGCAAAAAGAAAACATGAATTTGAAATATATGAAGAGAGAAGAGAAACCGACTGTTTTCACAAGTTACACATTTTGTTTCGGTCTGATTGCGTGTGATTTGGTCTGATTGTGTCTGGCTTGTGGTTGGCTGCTTGGCCGCTTGTTTCTCAGTTTCCTCTGTCTGCAGATAAGGAATGGAGGTTTTGCCTGCGAGGATGCCTGTGTGAAGGAAGAGATGCACCTGTCTGTGTGAGAACAAGTGTGGTAGCACACATTTCCGTGGTTGGGTCTTTCCTATCTACATGAATCAGACAAGGATTTTCCTGAAAGTGGATACATGCATATGTGTGGCAAGTAACTTACAGTGTGTTGACAGAGGAAGGTTTGTTCAGTTGCCTTCTCTTCCCATGAAACAGGAATTCCCATGAAATGACTTTGCTGCTTTAAGATATTTGTTTGTTGTATGCTCCTTTTGTGTGGGGAAGAATTAGAGGCCTTTTTTGCATGTTTGCTCTCCCTTCCCAGTTGTTCCCTGTAAAATTGAAATTTCCTGTGACATTTTGGGGTGGTATGTCTATTGCTGAACACTGAACAATGCCAGAGCAGCTGGGGCAGAATCCAGACCCAGCCTCTGAGATGACCACTGCCACAATTCAGATCTGGAATACAAAATACTGTGTGCTCTGAACTGAAATATATCCATACAGCATGCTGCATATACTGTGCGGCTGAAATCATGCTAATTCATTACATGCATCATACAGTAATCCTCAAACATGTCTTGAGGGTTACAGTGTGCTCCCAGTATCCCACAGGAACCCTATTTTTTAGGTCCTAGACCTTGAAATTTCAAGAACAAAAGTGGTGGATTAGGATAATGCGCCCACCACATGGATGATCTGTATGCTAGCGAAGAGTCAGCCCTTCAGTACAGATCCCTGTGCACAGAAGTTAAGTCTTTAAAAGCCAGCAGACTACAGAGCTACAGTCAGCTCTTCTTTGTCTGCAGGTGGGTTTTCTGACTTGTGAATGGCTTGTACAAGGCAGTACCATCCACCAGGGTCCATTAAATCAGATGCAGTGCCAGACAGAATGAATAATTCTGCCTCTGGGGCCAACCCAACTAGAAAGGAGTATTGACATTTTATGCATCATGGAGCTAAACTCCTAGATGCAGTTTGTCTGAACCTGGGGTAGCAGAAGATAAACATATTTCATGCTTTCTAATTAGGACATTGTGGTATTTACTATTGCTTGTTGTCCAGCCTGAAATATTAAGAACCCTGCTAGTTTTTGTGGTTTGATTGTGGGTTGGTTTGTAAGATTTTTATTTATTTATTTATTTAAATTTCTTGCATTTGGGAGGTGTTAAGCAGAGACCTCAGTGACTCTGTGTGGGGTCACTCGTGTTCTACCAGATTTAACACCTCCCATTCACAAGGTCTGCTAGATCAAGGAAGGCTCCACTGGAGCTGTGCTGATACCATTCCATCACACGTCCCAGCAAATCAATATTAGTGAGGCTTTCCTGCTGTGTGGGATGGTTCATTCCACTCCTGCCTGCCCTTTTCCTGCTCTGGAGGATAGTGGCAGTAGAGATAGGTGTTCAGTGTGAAAAGTGCTAAAGAGCACAGGGAAGTTTGCTGTGGAGCTCCCATTTGAAAATCCCTTACGTTAGGATACATGCCTCCCCTGGAACTTGTCCAAATCTCAGTTATTTCCTCACCAGACTAGCTCTGACAATGAATTGCAGACATTTCATTCCTGGGCTTCAGGTAGAGTGGAAATTGCATCCCCATGGTCGTGTGAGAAAAGTTCTGCCCCTTCTGCAGAGGGGCAACTCCCATGAGATCTCTCTCCGGGAGAGATCCCAATTCAGCTTTCCCTGTCCTCAGAGAAAAAAAGAAAAAAGAAAAAATAAATAAATAATACAAATAAAAAATGGAATCTTATCTTTTAATCTGTACTTCCAGTTGGCTCCTGTACTTCACAATACTTGCTTCAGGCAGATGTGGAGCTTTAGGTATTTACTCATTTCTAAACGGGGATTTTTGCTCTGTCTTCTTCATTATTGTCCCTGAAGTTTGAGAGATTGTTCATAATAAAAAGATTTGGCAGCTTCATGATTCACTAGGCTGGGTATCCAGCCAAGATATAATGATGGCTCATCAAGAGCTGTCAGTTTATATTGCATGTACTGTGGATTTCAGGTGATGGAAGACAGTCTGAAGACCACAGAGCCTTAAAATACCAGGATTTGGAAAACTGTTCCCTGAAGATACCATGACAATAAAACAGCAAAATTGTGAGCACCCCATAAACTTGGAGGTGTCTGACTCAGTAAAAACTTTCAGATTGAACCAGCACTCAAGAAAGGGCCAACCTGGAAGCTCAACATAGATATCAGGCTCTTCACTCAGAGCTTTATGATCTGCTTTATGATCTTTTCATGGGATGTGAAGTTTCCCTATTTCTACCCCTTATTTTTCAGGGCTTGTCAAGCCGGAGTTCTGCAGCTGCTGTGCAGAAAGGCATGATGAAAGGATGCTGAGGCCAGCTGAAATGCCAAGGGGAGACCATTTTCATGCACCAGGCTAGTTCAGCCCCGATTTTATTCTGCTCTGATCTGATCAGTTAATCTCTGCAGCCAGCAAATTCCTCCCTGGCGCATAATTGTATTTCCTTTTGCTTCTCCCCTGATGCCTGGCTCAGGCATGCTGCAGGGACTGAACTGTCCCAGGAGCGCAGGGTATGGGCTCAGAGCAGAGGAGCCAAGAAGAGGTGCTCACAGTATGGCCCAGGATAGCCCTGAGTAAGAAAAACATTCTGGTCTCCACGGGTTTCATCATTAGCATTTTGTTTATCAGCGCTAATTGAACTGCTCTTAATACATGAATTGGAAGTGGTACATTGGCAGTAAAGGCCCTTCTTTGAACCAGCTGATCCCATATCTCTATGCAGAATCATTGCTGGAATCTAAATTTGCTATGTGCAAAACTGGGAGGATGAAATAGGATACTTAGAGCTCAGGAATTCAAGGAATACTGTCCATGGGCTATTTCTAGAAGACAGACAGGATGCTGAGCTTGAGCTCAGCACTTTGTGCAGCCCACCTGGGCTGGGAATCACAGCACATGGCTGTATCCACTTGTCCTCTCCACATCTCCTTGTGCAGTTTTCTTCTGCCATGTACATGTGCTTTTCAGTTGCAAAGGTATGAAGGAACCACTTCAGGCCCAAAGGAAAGGCTCCCAGACCTGGGCCCAGGCTGAAGCACAGATACTCTATCTTGCAGCATCAGTGAGCTAAAGGAAATGGCCTCCTTAGACCTTCTGTGCTTTGAGAGGACCTTTTCAGCTTGTAATTTAAATGATTTAAGAAGCAGGTTGCAGTTTGTTCCAGCATTTGCCTTGGGGTGTTTGGAATTACTTATTTTATCTTTCAGAACAAGAATTCTTTCTTTTCTTTGATTTCCTGCCAGTTTCCTCCAGTTCCAATTCTGATTCTTCTCCTTTGCAGTTCACTGCATGAACAGAAAAAGAAAATTTTGCACAGAAGGAAAGCAAATGTATAAAACCCAAGAAGATTTTCTCACTTGTCCATCTCTGATTCCCTTGGAATTCCCTTCATGTGTTAAGAACCCTTAGTTCCTTATAACAACAGAGAATAATAAATACTGCAGACAGAAGCACTCTGTCTGCATCAGCTCAATTCCCTTAATATCTGTAGTTTATTGTGCATGACACTGCATGTCTGATCATGGATTCCTCAGACCGACAGACCCCTAATTGAAATCAAAGGCAGTTTTGGCAGTAGCCATGGGAATGCCATGGCATGGAGTCCCAGGTTATATGCCTCAGGGAGAACGTTGTCACACTTTTGAGTTGAGAGGAGTAAGTTCAAAGGTGAAGGAAATGATGGTTCCAATATTTAATTTCTATTCTATTTATTTATGTTTCAGTCTTGTTGACATGGCAAATGCTGTTCAAGTTAATCCCTACTCTGGAGAAAGGCCAGAGTAGATGTAAAAATGTCTGGGAAGACTGGGATGATGCTTCCCCAAGTCAAATACTTAAAACAGTAGTTTTTGTGAGTATCTTTTTTTTTTTTTTTTGGTTTGTTGTTTGTTTGTTTGTTTGTTTTCCAATGTAGGGTAATTGTTTTGAAAGGGATATCACTATATGCAAATTCCATCACAGTTGAAATGGAATGTGAGGGTGAAATTGAAGAAGCTACTTAGAGTTATTTTTTATCAAATTAAGAGAACCAGTTTTTATTATCCACTTCCATTTATGTTTGCAAAGAACTAGCTAAAACAAGTTCTGGTTGAGAAGTTTCCTCACTTGCAAAAGTGGTTCAGTTGTTTTCGTTACACTCATAAAGTTGATGATAATATTAAGCAAGGCTACCAGTGCTTTTATGACCACCAAGAAGCAAAGGGTGATGCCACAGTTCAACATTAACGCTATGGCAAGAACCAGGATGAGTCCTATGAAAATAGGGGAGGGGGGAGTCTGTGTTTAAATTGGTGTTTCTGCACTTGGATGTTTCCATGCGTTTCTTAGAAGAGCTTGCAGTGACATCTGAAGGCCATATGGTAGAAAATCAGCTCATGAATGTTCCTATGACCTTCTTTCACTTCTCCTCCCTAGAAATGTATTTTTGTCACAAGGTGAGGGAGCTACCCAAATATTTTTCAGGAAGACACGAGTTGTAATCTGATTAGTACGAGTGGGATGACATGCAAGTGCTAGGAAACGGGGAGAGAAAAAGGATATCTGCAAGGTTCCAGCTTGGAAGAGCATTCAGGAAAATGGAAAATGGCTACTAAACATTTCAGCAATGGAGCTATTTCTTAATATGCATGGGAGACTGTTATACAATCAACTAGGATAGATATACAGACAACAGCCCCAGCATTGGGAATGTTTGTGTGTTTTTTTGGTGAATGTTTTTGAAAGGAACAGACTCTCATGCTTCCCACCCAGCAGCTAGGCAGTCACAGCTCCTAGCCACCAGCTCAGTGGTTGGAGGCAGACAGCTGAGGGTGGGGAGCAGAAACTTAAGAATGCCACTCAGGTGGTGAAGCACTGATCCAACCTTGGTTGTCACAACTGTCTGACAACTCCACTGCACCCTTCCCTGCTAAGCCCAAACTTACAGACAAGCTGAATTGTGTCTTACACTGTTACAAAGCATGCTAATTCCGGGGAGGGAGGGAAGGGGGGGTGGAGGGGAGGAGTCTTCTTGAAGAAGCACAGAAAATGCCTAGAATGGGTCTTAGTAAGGGAGAGCTGAAAGGAGATGGTGCTTTAACCAGGCAGCTCTATTAACTGGATTAATAGAGAACGGGTTCACAGAGGTCTTCTGAAGACATGAAAAGGAGTAAGCCAAAACATTGGAGCTGCATCTTCAAAGCAAATTACTAGAAATACCTGCTAAATCACAGTGAAACTTGGCAGGAAAAAAGGGTATAAATCTTTCAGATTAAGATAAGGAAAACCAGCCTAAAGCTTCATAGTTGACTTTGCAGGGCCACAGGTTTGATATAGATTACCCCAAAAACATCAGGTTGAGCCCTTTTCAGTAGCAATTTTTGAGCTGCTTCTGGAAACAAGCAGGCTGGGATCAATTGCTGTGAGCACCATCTACTTTGTGTTTTTTTTGATGGAACATCCACAACTGCATAATCCATAGGGAGTTGCCTGCCTATAGGTACTGGTTGCTTGACAGATCTGTCACACTCCTCAGAAATAAAGATGCAAAATCCATGACTCAGGGACATGGTATATGTGTATCAGACACTCTCTAGGGGATGAAGAGTCCATTAACCATCAAGACCCTAAACTCATCCATATGAAGAATTCACATCTGTGACAGATAGAATATGGAGAGTACCCATCGTCTAGCAGGTGATCTGACTCTAATGTGCTACTAATGCACTATAAATATTCAGTTTATTTCACCCTTTCAGAGACATGTGTGTGGGTGAGCCCAGAGGAATAGGAACTGCTTATGCAGAACATGAGTGAGAACAGCAGGGTTGTATTGCATGAGGGAGAACGTGTCTCTAGGAGGCAATGGCACTCATAGCATTGGCTGTTTGAGGCAAGCATGTCATTGCACAATACAGAGCTGAAGACATGACCTTCACAAAGAGGCTTATGACAAGGGTTCTGTAAACTTGCCAAATAATAGAAGAGGGGTGAATTAGTCAAATGTACAAGACAGCTCACAAAGCTGTGTGAAATGAAAACGCAGAATAATTACTGCTTCTCAAAGCCATGTTAGCCAAAACGTGGAAATCAGTAACATAAGACAAGTGTGATTTTGGTGTAGTATGTCTTCACCTATACGTTAAATGAATTTGCATCAAGTTCTCTTGTTGAGCACAGTAAAGCTTAAAGAGGGGTGGTTGCCTTGCTGACACCATCCCACTCCTTTGCGTAATGTCTCAGGATGGGGTTCTCTTCACACAGCACCGCCAGGTAGGTTAATCCCCTCCAAAGCAGGTGGAAATCAGACTCATTTAAAATGTTTTTTAGGAGGACACTAACTGTCACTGTTCTGACACTGAAATCAAAGGAAGGTGCTGGAGATGTCACGCTGAGCAAAATACCCCTCCACACAGGAACACATAAACACCTTTCCGCATTACAGTTTTTTATTTGATTAATGAAAATCGGTAATATTAGCAACTGTCTCCTGCATTTCCACTGGAAAAAATCATTGTTTTGATATCACCCATGAAGCTGAGAAGTCTATAAAAGGAATAAAACCACAGGGAAAACTTGTAATGCTTGTCCTGATGGCATGTGAAAACACTGATGGGCATTTCTAGGTCACTGAAAAGAAGTTGATTACAACTGTAGCTGCTTAAGTACTGGAATGAGGTAAGAGAAGGACACTTAGCTCATTGAGGGACAGAGGTGATGGTGTCTGAGGAATGTATGAAGATAAAAGACAGAAATTATGCTCAGCTTGGGAAAATAAGCAATTAATCCATCAGTGGGAACTACAGAGATCCAAGTGCTTTGAGGTTCAAATACACCAGCCAGAGGGGGGGGGGGGGGGGGGGGGGATAGCTGAATACACCATACATAAGAGGTGTAGGTAGGAATAATAGGAAGTTAAGGAAATGAAGGCCTGATACCAGCCTCAGAAGTTCATGACATTCCAGGAAAAAATAAAAAATCAGTTAGGTGAAGTTTTGGAGAATTCACTGTTATGATCGTTTTCTCCATCCTTTGCTCCCTTTGAAGAATGTGAGCAATTCACTTCAGTCTGTCAAAGAAAAATGCCAGTCATTCTAGTGTACCTTTTTCATTTCTCATTAGGACTCCAGTTGTAGGTTTCTAATCATTATAACCTTCTTTAGACTCTGAGGACTGTTGGCAAAGATGTGAAATTTGCTCTGGGACTGGATTCAGAATTATACAAGAGCTCCTGTCCTGCTGTCACTTTTGGGGACACCATGTTATACTGCAATGTTTCACTAGATGGTGCGTTTGACAAATTATTTGAAGAGATTGATCTTCCCTTGCTGAAAGCTTATGATGCAGGGCTTAACACAGCAAGCCTTTTTGCTCTCTATAAGCGGTACATCCTCTTCACAACTCTCTACAAAGTTGACCATGCTGTGCAAGAGAGGAATGTGACCATTGCTGTCACTTGGGGGATTTTTTTTTTTTGTCCATCACAAGTCTTTGACTAATTCATAAGTCACTTAGAAATCATGGCATATTGAGTTCAAGGGACTCTTAACTTTGGAAAGAGGGAAGCTGTGTTGGTTAGAAAATATCTTATACTCCTTATTAGGTTCCATTTCCCCCATCTCATCAATCTAGGAGAATTAAATGGAACTGAAGATGTGCATATATTGATTTATTTGCTCCCAGAAGGGAGGATTAGCCTGAAAGCAGCTGTGTGGGACAGAGAGGACAGGCAGAGGTTCCCACATCCAGGGAATTAATTCCTGCCCTTCTTCTTGGATGTGTGGAAGCCCTTCTATCCTCAGGATTTGGAGCAAGGGCATGGGCAGCACATCAAGCAGCAAACACCTTTCTGGGAGCTGCTGACACTTTCACCAAGGAGCTCAGAAAAGCTGCCCAGGTTGGAGGTATGTGCTGCGCTTGTGCTCTGGGAGCTGGTGGTTTCACATCCATCTTGCAAGTAGCAAAGCTAAAGCGGGGACACGGTGCTAAAGCCTGTCTGGCCCCTCTGCCTTTTCCCTTTCTTTGGAAAAGATTTTTTATATTATGGCAGAAATCACTAGGTGGTGCTGTTACTCCTAAAACTTGCACTTAGTATAGCACATTTTCAGTTTTTGAAGAAATGGTTCTGGTAAGCTTTGGGTGTGTGGAGGGAGCTTTTGAAAGCTGCTGAAATAGGGGAAGGTAGCAGGCAGCAGTAGCTGGCTGGAAGGGGGTGTGGATTTCTTAGATCTTGGTATTGGTGCTTTGGCTGGAATTTCTGGACAAAGGGAAGAGATTTACTGCACACAGGCAGCAACCCATCCTCTTCCTTAAAGCGTGTGTGCTCAAATTCAGCATCTTTGACTCCTTTCCCATCACAAATTCAACCTTGAGGGCCTTCAAAGGAATCAGGAGGTTCTGTTTCCTCTGGAGGGACAACAGTGTAGCCAAGGCACAATGCTCTCCTGGTTTACATGGAGACATTCAGATGAATTTCACAGAAAGGGGAATCTTAGTGAGAGGATTTGCCTTCTAAGGTCATAAGTGGATAAATAAAATAATGTTAGAAAGGATTAGGAATTTTAGATTTATTTATTTTTCTTTCTTCTGATAGTTAGAAACTTGTATTTTTATGTATTATTATTATTTTTTAATGTGACTTGACTGTTTTCATTTATTAAAAAATAATATAATTTAAATGGAAACGTGCATATGAATGTGCTTATGTGCTTATGTGTTTATTTAGGTAGATTCTATATAGTGCACAAATATACACATACAAGACATCATTTCGTTCTCATAGCAATAGTAACTTCACCGGATTATCGGGAAACCAGGCAGTGAAACTCATCAGGAACAGAAAGCAGAGACCCATTCTATCCTCCTCTTAATGATTAATATCTGGCAAGCCACTTGAACTTTGGTTGTCTTTTTTTTTTTTTTTAAGGCCATCTTACTTCAGAGGCTTACAATGTTCTGTATACATAACCATGCATTTCAATATTTTCAGGGTAGGGATTTAGACTTGCCTACCAAGAGGAAATTATTCTGAATTAACTATACTGATTTAGAAACTGATTTAGTTAAATCAGTGCAACTCTCCTGAGCACTTTATATCACTTCTGTTTAAGTCATGAGTCAGTGAATAACAAATCAATTCTGTTGGCAGAGAGTGAGAAAGATTAGACTGGATCTTCAGCCCTTCTATCTCAGTATTTATTAGGCTAAGGACTCTTCAGGGCTTGTTGCTGTTCTCTTTAATTTTCTCTGCCTAATGGACCTGATCCATCTCTTGATGGCGTAAATGAGGGTTTTTCCATGACCTCCAGATGGGAGCTGGAGATGGCAATAACTTTATTAAAAACCTAGAGAAGCTTAGAATGACAAATAACTCAAAACTGCCTCCTTGCTATGTATACAGTTCTCAGACTGAGGCTCATAATGCAGAAATTGCCTCTGCTCTGAAAAATGTAATATTCTATATTCAGTGCAAGAAAATTCAGTCCCTAAGTATACCAACCTCTACTAACATCATGCAAAGAGTCATAATCTCATTCCATTTTCCTAACAATAGCTAACAGCTAAAATCTCACATACATTTTGAGATGGGATGAAAATAATCCCTGTGTCAATCTACAAAGATTTTGTGCATTCAGGCTGAATAGATTTGGGACTCAGGCTGTTCCTGGTTTTGTATCTGCTTAACCAGAACATGGACTGATGTTACACTTACAAATTAAAAAGCACAGCTTTTTCAAAACCTATTTGGTAAAGCATCTGCTTTTTTGTTGTTCTCTTTCTGCATTTTTCTTCGCGCTTATAAGGACTACTAAACAAGAAATTTATCTGAGAATATGTTGAACAAGAATATTCTGAGTTCCATGTACTGAAGATTTTGCTTACTCTTACCAAGGCTTTTTACTGCTGGCTGCAGAGAATACAGTGCAGAAACAGTTGAGCTCTTGGATGGTCTCACTAGTCCAGAAAAGAGTAACTAAGTTGTTTACAAACCTAGTATTTTGGTTTATTGCAAAGCCTTTTTTCTCTTTCAAAACTGGATGTTAATAAAGCTCTGTGTAACCAACAATCTTCTGACATGGTCTTACAATTCACCTCCAGTTAGTTCCTAGAAACCTTTATATTGTAAGTAGTGGTGCTCCCTTCCATTTTCATCTGTATTACAAGTGTGATTTCTTACTCATTTTACAGGTTTATAATGGAACTCACATCTTTGCCTAAATTTCTGTGGACAAATGACAACAAACTTCTTCATCACCATTTTCCGGATGTATTGGCTACTGTTCACACCACACAAGACATTCCCGAAGAAGCTGTTTTTGGACCATGTATGCTCCAAAACACCCTAGTGGACACTGTAGCTTTTATTGCCCTCAAGTGTTCTGAAAGACGGAGCATCCATTACGTATTCAAGGTAGGAGAACGCAGCAAGTCATGTCAGACAGGATCACACCATCTCGCAGGAGGTGACTATGTCAGGGGGTAGATTTTTGTTCTGTTCAGCACAACTAACAGCTCCTCCAAAAGGGAGAAGTAGCCAGTGTGTTTCTAATTATGAGCTGTATACTGGAGGGACCTCAGTGAAAACTGGCTCCTTTGCAGGAATACAAAGTTCCACTGCTGTGCTGACTATTGATGACTTGGCTTTTAAGTTTAGTCCAAAAAGGAGCCCTGTTTTTTTTTTCTCATCCTCTTGGAGACCCTAATTTGAACTCCTTGGTCCAATTTGTATGCTTGGGTAAAGACAATGGCCACCATTGGCACAGGTTGTTCTTCCCAGCCAGCCATTTACCCCAGCAAAGCAAACCTGCCCCTAAGCTGTCTTTCCCCTTTGAGTTCCTCTGAGCCTTACAGCCTCTCGTGGGGTTAGCCTCCTGGATCCAAGGAACAGCCTTATCTTCACCCTTCTTCTCCAGCCTCTGTCAAGGAAGCCAGACCATGTCCATTGCACAGCTCTGACTGAACCTGTTGTGCAGTAAAGCCCCTCCCTCATTTATGAATGTAAAAGATTCATATGAGGGATTTCCATCCCAGGAAGGGGGTGGACTTGCATCTCTTGTAGTGTCTCTGCATGCACGGAAAAACTGAAGCAGGCTCATGCTTGCAGTTAAGTGTACCCAGGTCTTCTGTTCTGCCCTGTATTCCTCCCCACCTCCTTCAAACTCTCTCAGCTCCTTCCCTGCAGGCCTGGTTCCTGGAGGAGCTGTGTTCCCTTTGACTTTGCTTAGAGCTCCGGGTGGGTACTTGGTATTTCTGAAACACTGAAACTAATAAATGACAGCCTCTGTCAAAGCTATTAGTTGCAAACACTGTGTGTGTGGGTGGGTGTGCTTGTGTTGCTGTCAGACTTTTGGATTTCTCAATCATTGTTAATTACCACGGCGTTTAGAGAGAACCAGTTACAGGGCATGCTAATTTATTTTCTCCCTTATAATAATTAACTCTTATACTAATGCCCCCTTAATGTTTTATTCTTTTATTCAAGCTCCTACCGTGGTCATACTTTTCATGGTAGGTAATCGTCAAACTGAGCTAAACACAGAGAAAGAAAACCAAAATACTGTTTCTGATACAAAACACCAATGAATGGCTGCCCTGCAATTAGTGGAAAACAAAGAGCTATACATTGCTTGGGGTGAAATTTGGATCATACTTGTCATTAGACATTTTTCATTTCCAAATTTCTTCCTTTCAAAACAATGACTTAGTGCTTCAAAAATTAGTTGAGGCTTTTTATGTGTATAAGTGTTGCCCTTGATCGCCCTGTGTTTCAGCCTCCGAGCTATGAAAATCTTCCCCATCCTTCAAATACTGCTGAGGACATAGATCTGCTGTGGTAAAAACCAAGGAAAAAACCTATAAATAAATAAATCATTCCCTATTCAAAGCAAATGCAATCAATTAAATAAGATGGGAGCCACACACTGAATGAGGAAGACAAAACCAAATGTTTTACAGTTATATTATTTCCAGAGCATGGTCAACCTGTGACTAAATGACTCAGGAGTCCTGTGGAGAAAGGCATTTATGCAACTGAGGGCTATGTTGTAACATGTACACAGAAGGGAGATTTAATTTGAGCAGTAGGCTTAATATTATGTTTTTAACTTTTGAGTGCCTGACCTTCCAACCTAAGTGAAATTTTCAAATTAAGCTGTTTGGTATTCCTGAATACACACATACTGAAAGTAAATCAACCCCTCACTACACTCGGAAGTAATGTAATGAAAAGTATTAATCAAATGAGTTTTTGTCTGTTCGTATACCCTGAAATGAATTTAAGCTATTTATCGAAGGAAGAAAGGGGAATATGTCAATGTCATTTTATTTCTGAAAAAGGAAAGTGATAATAAAAGTACTTCCTAGCTGTATTTGTTAAAATCTAATATTTACATAATTTAGCCAGTAGTAAATGTGGAAGTTGTCTCCTTGGGATGTCGACTCAAATAATCAAAATGATTCCTAATTTACCCCTCTTCTGACACATCCCATGGGATTGAGACCCCTTCTTACAGAGGATCACGCCATCTGTACCTCTAAGATCCACACCCAACGCAGCCTCAGGAGACAACCAGCATCAGCAGAGGAGAGCACCTTGCCATGAGGGGGCTGGAGATGGGCCAAGGGAGCAGCCCTGGCACTGCTGGCCCAGAGCAGGTTCATGTGAAGAATGGTGTCCCCTTCTGGTCCCACTCAGTGCTCCCAGAGCTCTAAGCACTCACATGAGGGAAGCCTTCTCCCTCCCATGACTTTGAGTTTGATTACAGCCGTGTGTGATTTGGGGTTGCAGCTTTGGCATGGGCTCTGTGTGAGGCAGAAAATAGGCTTTTTCTTGAATTTCATGGAAATCTATTTGGGGTCACAGGACTTCAAACTTGCATTTTTTGTGTCCTGTTTCACAGGTGGATGTTACGTCTGTGCACAGTCCTACAGGGCTGCCTTGGATGAGACTTGTACAAGCAGCTGCCAATAGCAAGGAGCAAAACTTAGAAGCTTACTTAGAAAACAGTCAGTTATATTATCGCTCTACCAGGAAAATCAACAAAAATGAGGAGCTGCTTGTCTGGTATGATGAGGAGCTTTCCAGCCTCTTGGGTTTCAATGAGATAAAAGCTCAAAGTCCCCAAAATGGTAAGTACCAGACTAATGGTTCTGCGGGGGTCACTGAGGACTGAAGTGAGTCTGCAACATTAGCATGGGTGATCCTGTAATGCAGGAAATAAAACCAGTCTAAATCCTTAGCAGTCAGGTAAGAAAAGAGAAAAAAAAAGAGCAATCAGCTAAGAAAACATTCTGTTTTAGGGACTGAGCTGGAGGCATCCAGTGAGAAGAAATTTGTAGTTCTCTATACCAGTTTAGTTGTTACTTTCCAACAGAGGACAGTGCACTAGGGAGCAGTGCTGAAGTTTTTAAACTGTGCAATGGAGATCTATGCACCTGACTACCTTGGACTCCTAAAAGCCTAAAATATCCATTGGAAATATGCCTTTAAAATAAAAATATGCCTTTAAAATAGCAATTTTATCTAATACAAACATGGCTGGAGAATCTAAATGAGAGCATTTCTGCAAGGAGCACATGGAGGTAAATACAAGTGAACCATTTTCCATAACAGCAGGGGACCTGACTCTGCACTGGCATTACCTTTACCATGTATAGTCTTGTATGACATAAGAGATGTTTCTGGGTTTGTGTTTTGTTTGTTTGTGTCAACAGCAGGGTCAGGATTTGCATCCATCCATGATTCTAACTTTGCAAAACTCATCATTTGTTGTCTGTTTCTGCAGAGCTGAGATGCCAAGAATGCAACCGAGTCTTTAAATGTGAGCATTCGTATCTCTCCCATGTCCGCTTCCTATGCGGACCAGAGAAGAGTGCCCTGCTATGGAGAAACTTCCAGGATGGCAAGACTGAAAAAGGCAACTTAGAGGACCAGACCACAAATTTCCACAGCCTGGCAAGGGATCTAGAGGTCAAAATGGCAGCTCATAAAGATGATGCCCATGGTCTCACTGGAGAAAAGAGAGCAAAACTAGAAGAGGCTGAGAACAACAGGAGCAGAAAAACAGTGTTGTTGGAGAAAACAAATAACCTGAGTGAGGGACGTAACTGTGGGGGCAAGGAAGAAGTTGGGGGAGAGCGCTCACTGGCAGGTTCTTTCTGGAAGCCTAGTTCAGGGAGGCAATCAGCTAGGAAGGATGCTTTTGAGCAGAAGCAGAGTGCTTTCACTGAGGTCAGGAGGGTGAAAGAGAAGATGAGGAATGAGAAACCCAAGGAATCAGAAGAGGAGGATGACACAGTCCCAGCTAGTAAGGAGCAGGTATCAAAGGAAGTGTTGCTGAACTCCTCTGGCAGTGCATTCTCCTTTGTGTGGCCCACCAGAGCCCGAGGAGAGCAGAAGAGTGCTTTCAGCAAGCCTAGTAAATGTCTAGCAGAAAGAGCTGCAATAAATTCTTCTCATCCCATGAGTGAGTCACCAAAGAGCCTGGGGGAGCTGTCCGGCTTCATTGCCACCACAGACATCATGTGCTGCAGCACTCTTCTCAATTCCAAGTTCTTCGTCAGTGATTTGTGTAATGCTCAGATGCTGCAGACTAGCATCACTCGGAGCAATGTTTTCCCATATACCTCAGACCTGTGGTCCAAACAAGCAGGAGGACAGTTACAAAACACAAGCACCACTTCTTCCTCCTCCTCCTCCTCTTCCTTGACTCTTCTTCCCCCTACCTTCACGTCATTTGGAGTGGCTGCCCAGAACTGGTGTGCCAAATGCAACCTGTCCTTTCGCATGACATCTGATTTAGTCTTCCACATGCGGTCACATCACAAAAAAGAATACTCCTCAACTGAATCCCAGAGCAAGAGGAGACGAGAGGAGAAGCTAACATGTCCAATTTGTCATGAGTACTTCCGAGAACGCCATCATTTATCCCGGCACATGACCTCTCACAATTAGAGCTGTGCAGACAGATCTCACCAAGGGACTGGGCAGGTTGGGTGAAGAAGGGAAACATTATTCAATTGTATCAATTTCTTTTTGCAGTTACATTAATTTCTTACAGGAGATCACTGTTTACAGTAATTTATAATAGATGCTTTGCAAAAAATATAAAATGTTTACAAAAGTCTGAGTGGGTTGTTAGATCTGAAAACTCAACCTAGCCCTTTTCAATCTATTTTTGAGGAAATAAAGTAGTGAAATGAATGCACATGCAGTATTAATTTGCAAAGAGTTGGGAACAAAGGTATCATTTTTCAGATAGAGTTTGCTTTGCTTGTATCTGATTTGCTGGTGTATGTGCAGTACAATGTAAATACAGAAGTAACACACTCTTTACTGAATGTGGAATCTTTAAACACTAAAAAAAAAAAAAAAAAAAAAAGTGTTTATATGCTTAAAGAAAATAAGTTACTTTTCCTAGTTTTCCTAGCAGCTTTGGTGGACTCACTCCTTTGTGTTAGCTGAATTTGCTCTCTTATCAGATTCATCTCACTGTCTCCTTGGCTTTGGAAGGGACTACTTAAAGTTAAGACTACCTGAAAATAGTGGTTGTCAAAAAGTGACCAACACACAGCCAAAGAGGATGTGAGTCGTAAATCAGTACATCTGAGTTCTGTTCTATGCTCTGCCGCTTTTGAAATATCTTACACAAAACCAAATCAAGATGGATCTGCATCAAAATGTGACCTGTTGTCAACACAATCATGTAGACAGGGAGCGCAAATTCTTCCCTGAGGTGTGCTTGCAAAATGTGTGTGACTTTGGTAGGCATATAGATCGGATAGGGGCAGAGTTTAGCTTGTGGTTTTCAGTTTCTGGATATACTAAAGAAAGTACCTGGGATGTCTGAGTTACTGCTATCTACTGGTAGACAGAATCTGCACCCTTTAAGTCTGGATGAGAGGCTCTGTTCTGCTGACAGCTAGAAGAGGAACATCCTTCAGAAAATGACAGAAGCATTAATTGCATTGGATGAGACCATCTCTATCATTTGCTTTCTACATTGGCCAATCCATCCATTTTAAAGAAGATGCCAAAGTCTCTCTGTAGCCAGTCTATATGAGACAGTTTTCCGTTGCCTTCTTTGGTTTGTGCTCTGCTTAATCTCAATCAGTTTATATTGCTTGAAGGGGAGGGGAGGGAAAGCAAGAACCCTGCCTGTTGTTACTGCAGCTCATCTAATTAGCCCTTCATTACTTTCTAAATCCATTTAGGGACTTTCTCTTGATAGCTTATGACAACATGTTATTCAAGTGAACATTTATGTCTCTCTTGAAGGGGATTTTTTTAAGGCTGTCTCCTGTTTTTGTGGCCTGTCTCTGAGCTTCATCTGCAGTTATTCCCTTTCAGAAAGAGAATTGTTAAAAACTGCTTATTTCTCAAATAAGAGTACCCCTAGGATTTGTATAGGACATTACAATATACTCCTTTTAACTTCATGCTGATGATACAGTCCAGTGTTTGTCTGCAGCACACTGGACAGAATTTTTTATTGAGTTCCCATGATGATGCTTAGGTTGATAATGCAAGTATCGGACAAGTGACAAGAGACAGCCCTAGAGTCTTAGGCTGTCAATTGGGATCAACATATTACCCTCATTGCCATCTCTTGGGAGATTTCTCTAAGTCAGAGACCATATTCTTATATTATTATTTTAATAATAATATACTGTTTGTTATTAATACATGGCTGTTTCCTGTTAGCATAAACATTTGACTTATTGTAGGCCAGTCACCGGCTGTGCACTCCAGTTTTATTTTCCCAACATAAAGTGATTAAACCTTTACATTATGCCTTTGAGTTTAGAGGACATAAATTGAGACTGGAGGTCTGGTTGGACTGCAACACAGCTTTCCCAGGTCAGTGGTGGAACTTCTTTCATTGGAGTCATTAAAAACCAAAGTGAACAAAAGCTTTGAAACATGCAGCACAGGGAACAACCTTGCATTGAGTAGGGGATGATGTGGTTTCCTCCTAATCTTTCCATCTCTATTTTGTGTCCAATAACATTTACTGTGTAAGGAATATATTTATGGCAAGGTTTTACAGGCCAAATTTCACTCCATCTGGTTTTATCTGGGTGCCAGCCAGTTTACTGTGAAGTCAGTGTCCATAAAGTGTAATAAAGGACTCCATGGTGTAACTGCATTCATATGTGGTTAGGGTTATAGTTCCCATTAGTAGTTTAGGCCAGATTGTGATCTCACTTATTCCAGTGCAAATCCAGAATAATTCCATGTTGCTACTCCTGATTTACATCAATAATATTCAGATCAGTCTGACCCTGTATGAATAAGACTAAAGATTTATTTATTTATTTTTCATACCATTACTGCCAAATATTCTCCTCTGTGCTTTCTATAAAATGCTGTTGTCTTAACAGTTGTATGTTAGAAACTTAGCTTCAGATTTCTTCTGGAAAAAGACAGGAGCAGCTACGCAATGCTTCCCTGTATTATGTTGGTTCATTGCTTCACCACTCCAAGGGCCTGTTTTTCCAGTGCGCTACACTTGGTTATCATTTAGGTCAGAATGAAGCAGTATCTAACTGGCTACATGGTTTCACTGATTTTGTGTTGGTATAAGTGATACTGGGAAAGCGTGGAAAAACAGCCACTGATAAAAAGCTGCTAAATCTCCAGATTTCTTCCAATGGTGTGTTAGATCTACATCCTCAGAGCTCTCATTAGTAATTAAACTTCATTCTGCCCATCCTGTGAGGCTTAAGTAAGCAGCAAGACTACGGGGAGAGAGAGCTTTCCTTTATATCATGAAGTTGTTTTCTTTGGTGAAAGAAAAAAAGAAAAAAAAAAAAAAAAAAAAACAGCACAAAAAATGACCTATAACCTAGTTTCTTTGTGGACATATCTCAGCCACATAACTTAGATACTGTGATGACAAACCCTGTATAAATGCCTTCTGTGCATAGAAAGAAAAGAGAAACAGTTACAAAGAGTGTCAGAGCTGATTCAAAATACAAAAATGAAGAGGAGAGGTTTCTAACTAGCTTTCCCTCTGACATTGTCCTTATCTCCTCCAGTTGCAGGAACAGCATGGATTACGCTAGCATGTAAAGATTGGGGGGTTTCCTCTTGCAAAACAGAAATCCCACTACAGGGAAGCGTGTACTGTCCTTACCCCTCTTCAAATGGCCAATGGCACAATGATTGAGTGAACAAATTGCTTTTTACACCGACAATTACAGTGTTTTGTGAACTAAGACCTGTTTACACACACTACTGTCCAGTATCACATTCTTTTGCCAGCTACACCTGTGCTGACATCAGAGCAAAATATCATCGGCGCCAGCAGAATCAGACCTTGATTCCTATGTGTGAAATAAGCTCTTGTGCAAAGCCCCTCATGCAACTGGGGGGAATGTCTTTTATGTGTCTCATGTTTAACTGAGTGTCTCATCTAAGTTGGGCTACATAAACCCTTGCACTTAGCCAAAATTCTGGGAGATTTTATTTCTTTATATGAAAATATTCATATTAAAGCTGAGTGAACCAAGGCAGCGCAGGCAGAAGGAAGCCTAACGAGACAAAGAAAAACAAACTTCCTGTAACTGAGTCATGCTGGAAGCTTTTTTTCCTAATGTCTGGAAATCTGAACATTTAAATTGGTGCGCATGAAAGGAAATCCTGCTGGAAGAAAAGCACTCCCCTAGATGTTCTTGAAGAAATGAAGGGACTTAAGGAATTCATGAAGGACTGCATCCAGTCCCAGTGCAATACTGTGATTTTACTGGAGGGATCTTTGTCTTTTGTATGACTAGAGATACTTGGAGGAAAAAAATGGAGATGTGTTTCTTTATCACAACCACACTCAGATTTTTGAAGAGTATGCATGTGCTTGTTTTTAGGAGTAAGTTTTCACTAATTCCTTACTGAATCTGTGGGCTCCCTACAGACCACAGTTTGAAAATCACTGGTCTAGGGCAGTTTTTGTGGTGTGATCAAGGAAGACTGCATTAGAAGCACTCTCCAGAGAGCAAGAATGCAGCATTCTGTAGCAAAAAACAAACAAAAAAAAAACAAAACAAACAAGCAAATAAAAAACAAGTAAGCTGGCCGCCATTTCTTGGTTGGAGTCCTGTGTACTCGAAAAGGAGAAGGATCATACTGCTAGGAGGCCTGGTACACCAACTTCTGTCTTCCTTTCTTCGAAAGGAACATTATTAGAATTAACGATTAGGAAGTTGTTCTAGGTTGGATGGTAAGGAAATTGTGCTACAGACTGTTGAATGTCCATGTCAGCTCTGGAACCAGAAGGGACAAGCGTGATGGTTTCAATGTGTTTCCTGTTGTATAAAGAGCTGGAAAAGCACTTCAGTATTTACCAAGTCCATCCCCAAGACAACATCTGTCTAACTTTCTCATTTAAACCACAAATCGTGGATTTTCCATAACTGATTTTCATTTGTAATTTGGTGATATTCTAGTCTTTCACTGCAGTGTAATTTTCTAAACAATTACTCTCTATTGAGAGAGCATTACAGCATTATTGATATCAAATGGATTCACCAGCAAATGCATTTTCTTTTTCTTTTTTTTTTTTTCCCCAACTGTTAAACATTTATTATTCATAAGTACTTATCATATTACTCAGGCGAAGAAATTATTTATTATTTTTGCCCATTTGGTATAATTTTTGGTCCTTGAATGGATGGCTGAAGTTTTTAAATGTTGGGTTTGACAACCACTATTGTTTGTACATGACAGCACAACAGATTGTGTTTAGGAAAAAGGAAGCAGTATATTTGGATCATTTAGATATTAAAGAGACTTAAAAGACATTAGAAGAAATACATCAGTGTTGTTTACTCATTCATGACTAATCCAGTCTTTTCCATATTAAGTATCTTTAATATTCTTCATACATATATCACTTTACACAATAGACTGTATGAGTTTTAATCCATTTAAATGGTTCTGCAAATCTGACAAATTCAACAACTGGCTACTGCATAAAAATCAGAATATGAAAATGACTCAAAAGAGCCCAGGTTAGTGATCACACCAAATGTAACTGGAAAGATAAACAAGTAGTAAAAAAGATGGAAAGTCTACTTTGTTGTTAACATTATTTCCTGTAAATACTGAAAGAGATTCTCTGCAGCTAGATGTTTAAACATGATTTATAAAAAATGGCAGTTACTTACAAATGAGCAAGCAAACAGCAATGTGTGACTACTACTGTCTCTAACTGACAGAATTTGGGGGGAACATTTTCCTAAGCTTAATGCCTTACAGGTGGTATTTTGCTGAGACAAAGAATGTTGAGATCTAGATTAGAATTATATGTATTTTTAAATCATTACAGAGACATACGGTTAGATAAAAATTGTAATGATGACAAGGAATGTAGGGCATTGATTAGGTTCATGTGAATAATATGAACTGTTAGTTCACATTATCAACCCTGTTATTTGCCCTGAAATACACTATCAGTTAATAACTAGCTTGTTATCATGGTGCAAAGGATATTTCTTTGCTTTCCTCTGGTCTTTGGAGTAGGGCACACAACCATCTGTTTTTAGCCTTTAGTAAAAACCTGATTCTTTTTCCTCAGTGTTGATCTGAGCACTGGGTTAGTCAATGTACTGCCTTTTCCCTCCTCATTTCCCATCCCTCTGCCAGATACTAGGGGAGAAGCAGACATGCACCAGGAATCTGGGCAACCCTGACAAACTGGGAAAGATTATTTTTGGTACAACTAATGATGAAATGGAGAAGACACTTAGCTCTTGCAGTTTGGAAAACAGACAGTCACAACTACTGTTAATTCTGCTTTAAGATGTGTGAATGGGAGTGTGCACATTTTCCAAAGGAGCAGATGTGCATTTTCTATCTTTGCATGAATGCTTTGAGGTGGCCCACATGCCTTCAATACTGAGCTGGGATTTTCTAAGGAACCAAAGGAAATCTCTGTGATCTGGAGCTAAATCTAAGACAGACAGTGTAACAACTAGCATTTACATTTCAAGCCAGGAGAGAAATCCAGAAACCCCGCTGAATTATCCAAGTATCTCAACCATGCTGAGGAAGAGTTGGATTCCTCAGAATAGGGTGAAAATGCAACATGTTGAAAAGGGAGTCACTTAGAGCTATGTACAGGGAAATGATGACTACAGAGATTGAACCCAAGTTCCTACTCCTTTTTGTCTCTGGAGGTGGCTTTCTTCTCCAAGACACTAGGTTACTAGAAAATTAACACAAAAAAATGAGACTTTGGTGTGAAGCCTCCATTCTCTTTTAAGAACTCAAATCCACTTCTGCTATCCAGAACAGTACCATTCCTGACGCTTGTGAATTATTCTGTGTAGCAGAAGGGCCTTAAAATAATTTCTCCTGTGGGAACTGAGCTCTTGTGCAGTAAACAACCCATCAAGCCAGACAGATAATGCATAGAAAAACACCTGTGCCCTGCACATTCCCTCACATGCAAATGCACACACACACACACAGTGAGATTTTGGGGGTATCATTTTTGCATTAGTTACCTAAATTATGGCTAAACACTGTTCTGGGCTCCCCAAACCGTTATTGGTTCAGCTCCTGAGAGCGTAAGTCCCCTCAGGCTTCTTTGAAAATTACAGCCTACCTTTTTTTCTAGGAGCACATGCCCCTGCTGGGCTATCTAGAGCTGTGCAGGTGAGCACTGAGCATCTCCTTTGCTTTGATAAGTGCTGTTGCAGCCGGTGTTTCCATGTGAGGAGGCACCCCTTTCCCTTCCCAAGAAGTGCTCTCTGCAGAGATGACTGATCTGGAAGTGGGGATGATGATGTAGAAGTTGGTATCATCTACTTGGTATGTCTGTGGGGAATGGGAGCCACCACTTGTCTGTTCCCCAATGATGAGAGCTCTGCCCAGCCTCTTCATTATGGATACAAACTCCTCAGCAGCTCCAGATGTCACAGCACTGGTGAGGATTACCAGACCTTTTTGAGACCCGTACCTCTCCCCTGCCAGAAAGGACAAAAAGCATCACAAAATGTGTCCATTTTCAGAGATTCGTTTGCATAACTGAGCCAAGATACACTTCTTTCCTTACTTGCTATTAACAACCAAAGAAATTTTAAAATATACTTTTCAACTATGATGTTATTAGAGCACTTTTTTATTATTATTATTTTTTTATTTTTTCTCTGTAGCCCAGCTGTACTGTAAAAAAGACTGTCACCCTATGCGGTACTCCTGAGCCATCAGTTTCTGGATATGAGTTCCAACAGCTGATGGTTACTACTGCTGGATCTCCGTGGCTTTTACTTCTACAGCAGCTCCTGGAGCAGTAGGATAGTCAGGCAAGGAAAGCAAACTTCTCCATTGCTCCTGCAGGGTTACTCAAAGCTCAGCCAGCAGCATCTTCAGTTTCATTCTCATCCCTGCTCTAGGAACATGGCTGTCATAGTGCTTGGCCTGCAGACTACGCAGGCGGCATATTATGAAATTATAATTATAGTGGTTTCCCACAGGCTTTTTGTAGTCTATAAATGGAAGATGTTGCATGGCCTTTGTCCCAAGCCCTTCAACAAATACCCTCATATTTTTGGGATGCCATCCAAGTTATCTCATTCTCTTACATAAGCCAGCTGACAGGAGGAGTTTTCTTGCACCCTATTTTCAGTATATCTGAACACACTGGATACTTTTCAAGGGCTTAGTTCCCTTGAAAATGAAGTCAGTGTGTCATAACTGGGACCTGATAACTTGAAAGGTAATCTAAACTGCTTCAAAAATGCCATTCTTTAAGTAAGTTGCAGTATGACATCTAATTCTCATAGTAAATCATAAGAGAGGGGCCAATAGCATGGTAATTAATTTTCACACCATCTTTGGTCTTCTCATTTCACTGTAGATGTAATATCCATTAGAAGACCCTTTTCACGGTAGATATATATAATACAGGACCACATCCAGCTCCTTTGAAGTTAGTATGTGTCTGCCTGTTCTCTTTGATGGGAACTGGAATGTGTCCATAGTAATCATACTCCCTTAACACAGCTCATCTCTAACTGCCTGGAAAAATAGATGGACACTGCAGCCTGCTACTGAGTTTAACCTTTTCAGCATGCTCCAAACCAATAACTGCAGACACCATGGTGGCACCTCTTTCAGTGGCTTGAAAGGGGAGAAGAATTAAAACCATTGTTTAAGGCTGTTTAGTACTCCTACTGCACTTTATGAGCACCAAAGAGCTTTGTTTCTGCATATTGCAGCGTTTCTTCAACTTCCATGGACAGCAAGGTGGGGAGCGACACACTGACAAGTGCTCCAGACTTACTCAGATGTGCAGAACTTAGTGCTTCTCTTTGCTTTTGCATTCTCTGGACAAACTGGGCTATTAAGGGTGTTTTCATTTATTGAAATAGCATCTGATAGATCGCACAGGTAGGAAGTGAAGTGCTACATGTAAAACTATAAGTGAGTTTTGGAAGAGGTGTTACCAGAGTTTTAAGCAGCATGGGATTTATTTTTAATCTTAGCAACTTCTATAAGCAGTCATAACTGCTGTGTACTCTATTCAACTAAACTTCTGAGAACCAGTTTACAAACCTATGTGTCCAGTCTACCCCATTCCTAGGAGTTATTTATAAATTGCATTAAGGACAGGGCTGAGATGCACATTTTTGTTTTTACATTCTCTGCACAGCTTGAGCTAATTGCAGCAGACGCTTTCACCAAATGAGTTATGGTGTCTAATGGTTCACTTTAAAATACACAAAGAGGAACCTCTGAAATGAAAAACTATTCTCAAAATAAATTGTCATTTTACCTTTGAGCTGGGGCTGGGTCCATATTTCCTTTACTGAGTCACTGGGTCTGTCATAAACTTTGTCCAGGAGAATATGTTGTCCTTCATCAAAGAAGTATGAGCATAGGATTGGTATTGAAGTGGTGTCACCTCCAATATTGTACCTTTTCAGAAATTTAAGATATTAATAAAACAAGTAAAAATTTGTGGCAGATGACAAATCTTCCTTCCAAATTTTTTTTCTTAACATCACTGCTGAAAGGGCTTAAAGCTACGTTTTGATGCATTTACATTCATTCTCCCCTATCAACATTGGAACATCTATCAGAGAAACAAAATCCCATCTAACAGGCTGGGACTGTTATTGCCCACAGTTGGCTACAAAAGCAAACAGAATTCTGAATGGAATGTTTTTCTCTTGATTCAACCTGAGGAAAAAAACAAATCAGGAAGTACACAAAGGCTTTTATTTGTAGAGAAACATCAGATTCTTTTTCTTCTTCTGATTTGAATATTGTTATATATTTGAATATTAGGGTTACATATGTACTCATGCTTCCTATGTCATTAGTGATATTTAAAGGTAGACCCCAGTTTAAGCAACATCCAGCTGACATGGGTTCTTATTTCCTGCTGTACACAATAAAAACTACTGGTATTTGGCACCTCATAAGAGCAAGCATTTGTTTTTGTGCCTAAAGACTTTTTTAGCTGCTAAATTTACAGCCATCATGTTTGAAAACTTGGTTGTAATTTCATTTCATATCCATGTCTGAAGATTAAAGTCACAGAAGTGCCTAAATGTCAGTGGAGAACCCCTGCTATGTATACACATAGCAGAGTACCAAATTATTTTTTTGTCTGCCACTTCTCTCTGATAATAGAGCACATATGACACTGAAGTATTTGCACTTTGTTGACTATTGGGAGATAGCATGCAGTGATCTCCCGTTGTTGATGTTAGGAGTGCCTGGCACAGACATTCCAGCACAGACCTACTAGAAAGGGGTGTTTCGTCCAGTCCATAACTAAGTTCTTTTCATCTCCGGGAAAGGATTAGACAACCCAGGAGATCTCTGTCCCAAACAGTGAAGATTCCTCATTTTTCTGCAGCATTTGGAAGCTGTGTGCTGGGCTCACACTGTGACTGTCCAGAGCTGCAATGAGCCTCTTTAGTGTGTCCTGGGGAGCGCTGTGCTGCCATGAGGTGCTGCTGCTGCATGGCCCAGGAGGCAGCTGGAGCCAGCAGAGCCCAGTTCCTGCAGCTGCCATCCCAGCTGAAGAGAGTGGCAAGCAGCCAGCTAGCTAGCTGCATGGCTGAGGACAAAGCAGCTGTCTCTGCACAAGGTTAAGAGGCAATGATCTGCTGAGTTATTGCCAAAAAAGCTGAGTCCTTCCACCTCTGTTGGTGGCATCAGACAGGGCAAGGTGGATGAGCACTGAAATTCGTTGTGTTCTTGGTGCAGTCACCCATCTCCAGGAGGATTTATTTGTCTGCTAGATGTAGCCTAGAACACATTATCTCCTCATGCACTTGGAAGGAAGGAAGGAGGTCTTTAAGGTACATTTCTGGGACCCCATCTAGCCACAGTTATGCTGCAGTGCCAATCTGGGACAGCTGGCTGGGCAGCAGAGAGGCAAAAGTATGCAGCCAGTGTGAAGCCAGGCAGCAAAATGGCAGAGCAGCTGCATGCCCTACAGTGCACGTCTTACACAGACTTGAGCTGAAGAAGTCTACAAGATTTTGAGGGAAAAGCAAATGTCAAATATCTCCCTTCTCTGTGAACATAAGTTTAGAGGCTTCTCTGATTATCAAACTTCTTGTCAAGAGAAAGAGACAGGGTGGGTGACAAAGACAAGAAATATTTTGACAAGACAATAGAAATAGAGCAATGCTGGAGAGCTCTTCCTGCGACTCTCTAGGGCAGGGAAACTGGAGAAACTTTATTCAGTAATAACAACGGAGCAATTGTTAGAATTTTAGTTTAACTCTTGGAGGCAAGTTCTTCATTCACTACAGACTTCTCGTGTGACATTAGGGAAGTGGTTTAGATACCAACGAGTCTCTTCTCTAAGCTATGATATTTAAAAGTAAGGAGCTTGTGATTGGCCAGGTGAGAGACATTATGCATTATGGAAATCATCCTCCCCTTAAAATCATTGGATTGGTTTAGGTAGAATTTGAAAACATAAAATGCTTATGGTTCTTTTTACATGACTTCAGAGACTGAGTCTTTTAAGTGCTCTCAACTCTGCTTTCTCAAAGGGCTAGAAATAAGATTTCTACCAAGGAAAGGACTATAATGACACCATTTGGTACCTAGGGCATGATGTTACCTTTGCTGCTTTGTTACCCCAGCCCTGGTTTGAGTTCTGACTTGAGAGAAAACTGGGACAAGAAAGAGGAAAGTGCTGGTGCCATCTCAAGTCTATTGGAAGATGGCAATGTTAAGAGCAGGCATATGGTGCTGCAGCAAGAGTGCCACAGTATCTTGAGGCAATAGTGCCTTTAAGCCACCTTTGTGCTCTGCACAAGGACCATTGTGTACAGGGCCAATTGCCCAGCATAATTTGGCACTGAGGATATGGCAGACTAGATGCTGTAACACAGACTTATGCATGGGCTGTTTTTTGGACCATTCAATCACTTGACCGCTGCCAGCAGTGAAGGATTTAATTAAAACAAACATATATAATTAATACAAGACACATGCAGAGTCAGATTAGAAAGAAATCAGAAAAAGAAAACAGATGTGACGTCCAGGATTGCATCCTGCAGCGTAAACCCTAAATTTGCTTATTTAGTTTTAAACATGTCAAGTGATGGTACAATTTCTCTTGAGATATATTTCCCGACTGTTATTGTTTTCCTTGGCTGTTTTCCTTTTCTCATTTAATCCCAGTGATGTTAGGCTGTAAACAGGATAGCAAGCCATGTAAAGATAATTCACTGTTACAAATAAAATGCTGTTTTGAAAGAGGTTTGGTTATTTGCCATTCAAAGGTTTACCTCATGTCTATGATTAAAGCATCTGTATGAACAATTTTCTTCCAAACATGCTCTACCAGTAGGTCGGACACCTGGGTTAGAAGTTCGTAGTCTCCAAACATATCAAATCTCAGATGGCCGATGTTGTTTTCAAATACATTTGTGTGGAATGAAAATTTAATCAGATCTTCAAATACTTCTGGGGAAGGGATCTGAAAGAGTTTGGAAAAAAACAGAACAAATCATTTGCTGGCATCAATAGCTTGGCATAAGTTTTAAAAGGAATTACATGGGTCAAGTTTAGTTCAGGTGGGACATATGTGAGAAATATGACCAAGTCTGAAGTACAATAATGTAACAACATTAAGACTTCTGCATATTAAGCTTAGGTTAGCATGGGCTGCCAACCAGTACTGTTTGCCCAGTATTGGATGCCTTAACAGCATACACAGAATCCAGATCAGGCCCCCATTTGTCAAGGCTTAGCTTATTTTTCAAATATACAAGGGAAATTCTTGTGCCAGTAAGACTAAGAAGGCTACAAGAACAAGCCCAGGCCTGTAGCACAAGTCATTATTCCAGATCTGCCACCCAAAACTGCTTGCTTCCATTCTCAGGAAGGCACTTGAAGCTTTTATAGTCTCATTGATTGGGCTTAGCTGACAAACAGCTGCTGGCTGCAGGTGAGGCTGGCCCCAGCCCTTGTTAATGAACCAGTCCCTGTGACAAGGAGGAATCTCCTGTGTTGGGTATGTGCTGGGATACTCATGAAGTAGACATGTGTTAAATCTCTTAAATGGTGGCTATGTGCCTGGAATTTCATGTGTTAAGCTGTGATTAATTTCATTTTGTTTATCTGGATGTTAGCAGACATTTTTTTCATAGCAATGTGTAGCCAAATAATAAAGTTGTCCTAATAACCCCTATATGCTTTGGAGACAGAATCTTCTCCCTTTGCCAAACTTATGTTTTGCATGCATATGTCTGAAACTGGAAGACCTTCCAGCTTAAGGAGATAAGGTTTTCAGATATAGGGGTGACCTAGAAGGGTGACCTTCTGCAGCATGGGCTTTTCTCCTCAGGGTTGCTGTGAAACTGATTTTATACTTGCTTTTTCATCAATTCCCCTCTGCTATATCTCAGCCCCAGACAATCCATGGTTTAATAGTGAAGAGAACAAAGAATCTGTAGTGTCATGTGCTAAAAGGTGCTCTCTCAATCCACAGTATGACCCAGAACTTGGGAGACATCTGTGTCTTCTGCAACTGAAGGAAGTCAGGCAACCTCCTGCCCTTTGTGCAGTGCCCTGGCCTGGGGTCTGTGCTCCTGCCAAAAGCACCTCTGCCGCTGCAGGCAGAGGGTTTCCAAGCTGTGTGAATGCAACTGTACTTGACATAGCTCAAACACATTCCCTTTACCTGAGGGAATGTTAGCTACCATATCACACTTCTGGCTGCCCTGGGCTTCTTCATCATTCAGTGCCTTCTGTATGCCAGAATTTCAAGAATTACTTCAAAAGTTCTGTTGGCCAGTAGTTGTTGATCTAGCGGTGAGAGCAAACTTGACTGAGCCCTTTCCTTTACTTTCTTTCTCACTGTACCTTGTGAAAATAACCACTGCATCTGGACTGTAAACATATCAGTCCAAGCTGCTGAGTTTGTCATTTCCAATCCACTTCCCAGTGACAGCAATGCTACTTGATCTGCTCGCTGTACTTTGATTAACAAATCACAGTTTTGAAGAATACATCCAGCATGCACTGCGTTGCTCTGACAGAGCTTATTTCTAGTTCAGAGGTACTGGTCCCCCCAGGAGAAAAACTCATCACTCATTGGTAACATACAAATAAAACTGATGTGGTACTTTCAGCCACTTACCAATGATATTTTAATGAAACATGCACATTTCTTTCTTCTTTCTCATACAATAATTGCTAGATGCACACCCAGAAGCATGTTGATTAGGAATAACCTCTCGGTCTATGCCTGGTAATTTTTTTCTACTTTTTTTTTTTTTTTTTTTTAAGCGCTGTATCACATCTTGTGTTGCTATTTCTCACAAATTCATTACAGATTTCAAGGTAAGTTTCCCTTAGAGCACATCTCTTGGGCTAAAATGAATATGCAATGATCTCAAAAAAAAAAAAAAAAAAGAGAGAAAGTATGAAAATACATCTATTCCAAAGGCTCTGACTGAAAGTCGGACAAGAATCACTCAGTAAGCAATTTTCTTAAAAAATAAAAAACACAAAACAACAAAAACAACCAAACAACAACCACCACCACAACAACAACCATTTTAAGTAAAAGAGGGGAGGAGGCTGAGACTGACAGTAGAGGGTAATGGTCCTGGAAAACCCCAGGTTCATGACACTGGCTGATGGGCCACGTGCTGCTGGTACTTACAGAGGTGAGTCTAGCTTCAGAGACCAACCGCGTACTCCCCTTTGAAAGGCAAGGCTCTGCTTGCAGGTCAAGAACAAGCTGGGACAGGATGCAGCTGAGACTAAGATCCTGCTGGTCAGTTAGGCAGTGTTTACAAATGACTTGATGGTTAAATATAAACCCTCAGGTGCCTTAGTAAGAACACTATAAGCAATGTGGCTAGACTAAAGGACCTCCAAGCTAACACCACTTAAGCCAAGAAGAATTTCATTTGGTTAACTATATAGAGTCTCCAGCTCTGTTCTGCAATTGCCTTCCACATGTGTGTGGCCTAACTGGAACAGGCAGTGTGACACAGAATAGGACTTAGATTGCTGCCCTGTGACTCGTGCATGGGGTTTTATCACTGGCTCTACTACAGACACATACCCCAGCCATGGGCAAACTACTTTTCCAGCCGCACCTCTCTTCCCTCTTTTCTTCCCTTTCATGTCTCCCCTAAATTGTTTTGTTTATCTTGATGGAAACTGTATTTTCATAGCTAATTATATACTGACCACTGTAGTGTAACTCTTCTCCATTAAGGTTGCTAGTGCTGTCAGCCTCCGGGTTAAAATACTATCAGCCAAGATACCTGGGCCATTGGAAATCTGGAGGCTGGTTTAAGAACCATGAGATTTTGGGGAAGTAGGGGTTGTTGCTCCTTTCTTTCTCAGAATACCAATGGGTATCTTTGTTCACCCCCACAGGCTGAAAGGGTACCATCCATTTTAGTAGGTTCCCTAGAAAAAGGACTGAACAGGACCAGCAATATCCCTGACAGCTGCCTCTCAGTTGCTCTTAAAAACAACCAGTGATTGAGATTACGTGTTCTTCCCCAGGCAATCCAGTCTAGCACGTCACTAGCCTCACTATTATAAGGATGTTCCTAACATCTTGTGTAAACAGTCTAAGTCTGCTACTTTCTACAGTTTAAGTGCATTACTTCTTGGCCTATTCAACATGGGTAAGGAAACAGATTATTCTTTTAATATTTGAAACAGCTTCTTATGTACCTGAAGACTGTTTTCATATATCCCCTCAGTTTTCTTTTCTCCTGAATAAACAACTCAAATCCTTTAAGCTTTTTCAAGATAACTCTTACTCAACTCTTCTCGTTATTCTTTTTCCTCTTCCCCGGGCCTTCCCCAGCAGAGACACAACTTTCCAAAAAAGCATTGCCCAAGATTGGGCACAGTGTGCTCCAGCTGAGGCTTCTTTAGAGCCGAATGTAGCAGAAGACTTCATGCATTTCACTGATTATATTCCTGCTTATCCAACCCATTTTGATGATGATTATTTTTTACTGTGACAACTTGATTCTGTGAACTTGTGTTCACGTTGTGGACTCTGAAGGACTTGTATACTTCTGTACAGGACTCCTTCTAAACAAGCCATTTTCCTCCCAGCATTGTGCAGCTAATTATTCCCACTCTAGAATCTGTGCAAAAACCTTGCTTGTGCTCTTACTTAACCTCATCCCAGTTTTCACAGATAATTTATCCAGTTTTTCCAAAACCATAGCTTTGAATTCTTATTCTGTCCTCTGTTGCACCCGGACAGCCAGGATGGAGAGGTTACCATAAGCAAAAGCTGAAATGCTCTGGAAAGGATTAAATGAGGTTATTTAAGGCTTTCAGTCCACCCTGAGGAGCTCAGGGCAGAGGGAGAAGCTCTCACAGCAGATGGCGCTGCACAGCGACCTGTCAGCCTGCTCTGACGACATACGGCTCCAAACACACTCACTGCAAGTCAGCGAGCAAGAGTTTAAAGCATTGTTGTTTTCTTGCCTGGAATAACCTGGAAGATTACATTGGAAAACATGACTCATGGATAAGTTTTGATTTTTCATCTAAAGCGCACTGAAATTCCATAAAACTAATGGGGAAATCTACTGTAACACTGATGGCGATGGCAAAAAAATGAGCATAAACAGATTTCTTTGGTGGGATTATTGTAACTGCAAATGTAGCTGTATTGAGCTTCATTATCAGGGTCAAAAGATGAAAGGTGCTAGCAAAAGAACAAAACTGATTAACAAAATGCCATTTTCTTCTCTGCAACAAATATAAGAGGCAAGCAAAAGGTGAAAAGTCAAAGTTAGTTCCACTGACTGCTGTGGTTATGTTATAAATCAGCATCAGAAAGGCCCACAACATTTTTTTCTACCTGTTAGTGACAGATGTAGCAATTTGTTTACCCATCTTGACACTCTGAGGCTGAGTATTTTGTTTTAGTTGTTAATGGAAGCATAAAAGCAAGCATACTCATTTCTGGGGGAATGCCTGTAACTATTACCTCCATCAGCACAGCAGAATCTCTGCTATAGGTATTATTTATCCATGAAAATTGGTACTTCAAATGAAGGAACAGCTTCTCCTTATAAAAGATTCCTTTTTATCTTTTACTAGGGATGTACAGTGCAGTGGGGAGACTTTCTTCATCAATTTCATCTGCATTTCTAAAACATTAGCACAGAAATTCCCTTAGGTGTGAAGACTACATTAAAAAGATTTGGGCATCATCAAGGGGCCACAAGAGTCACTCAGGGAGGGGCTTGTCACTTGAAGCTGGCATAACACATTTGCCAAAATCAGGCAGCAATTCTTCTACAGGTAATCTACAATACTCAGATATTCATGAGTACATGGAAAGGAAGGTGTGATGAGAGAGAGAGACAAACAGAGGAATAAGAAGCGAGGATTACAGAAGTGTTCATCACTGTGTTTACAGAGTTCTGCCTTACAAGCAAAAGGCAATTTTCTGTTTCACAAACAGTATATGCAACATTTGCCTCTGGGAAGTCTGACTTCAGAAAGAGGCATTTATGCAGCAGAGTGCTCCGGCTAGCATCGACCTTGCTGCTGTCACAGAGGAGACATACTACCCAGTATTATGCTTCAGCAGCTGTTCTACTACAGTAGATGCAAAGGTCTGCATTTCACTTGTCTGTCTCCTATGCCCCATTCCATCCCTCCTGCAGTTACTCATCTTCACTTTCAGTTAATTGTGTTGGATCTGCTTCACTGTCAAGGTCACTATCTAAAAAATCCAACTGTCAAGGGAAAGGTTGGTTTGGAAGGTTGGCAGCACAAGAGAAAAAATACCTCTTAGATCGTTAAAGTATAAGCATAGTACAGATTAAATAGCCACCGTGTCCTGTTTGAGACTGCCAAAAAAGTGAAAAAAAAAAAGAATTTATAAATGCATTTAGTGCCATGTTCTAAGCTTCACTGTAATCTTATGGCATGTGCTTTCTGCGGTATTGGTATGGGGCATTTTCTGAACTGATTCATAGAAAACATTCCTCTTAGCTCTGCAAAAGCAAGGCAGAAACAATTATCCTGTAAAGTGAGTCAAGAAGATACAGGGACACTGTAGGAAAGAAAAAAAAAAAAAAAAAAAAAAGAGGAAATGAAAGTACTTTTGCTGCCCAATGCTCTGTGGAATAGGTGAATTTTCTTCTATCACAGGGAAAAACCTTTATGTCAAGTCTTAGTTCACTCACCGTCTTCTGCCTTAAAATATTTTAACACCATTTTCTTGTCTCTCTCCATCCCAGTTTCCTCAAGCAATGTGAAAGGATGCATACCTCCTTTGGTAGCTATTCTAGTTCCATAAGAGACCCATGCTTTTCCTCTGCTGTTTATTAATTATTCCTCCATAAAGAAATCTTAGTTTTGTCCTAATTTTCATTCACACTGCTGTGATTTCTTTCTGGTGGATAATAATATAATTTTATAATAATAATAATATATAATAATTTTCTAGTAATTTTTCTTTACAAAGAGTTCAGATAAAAAGTGGCATTAATTAGCATAATGACATTTGCTCATTAGCTCATTAGCTCTATCAGGATCAGAATTTCATACCATGTTAAAAATAAGGCTTGTCCTGTACATTCTGTTCTCAACTTTCAAGGTCTGAATAAAGTAAGTAAGGTCTGAACAAGTAAAAATACACAGCAATATCCATTAACAGCCTGCAGCAAATATGGTGACTAAGCTGCAGGATAGGTCCACTTTGTAGGATGAAGAGAAGTTTATATCTATCAGTGCTAATATGCTGCTAATAATTTAATAGGAGGGGGAGAGTAATGGAATTTAAAAAAGAAAAAATTATTTATTTATTTATTTATTTTTGCTTAGAGGCATGAACGGAGCCAGCATCTCTTGGTTATCAAACTTGAATTGAAAAAATGTCCTCCCCTGGAAATACTTAGACTTTGTCCTTGACATTATTGTTGGGGATAATACCACAAAGCTCATGCCCACCTTAATTCATGCATGCCAAAGACTTCAGAGAGTGGAAGCCTGCAAATTTCCTCCCCCAGGAAACATTTAATAGTTACCTGACACTTGGTATACTCTGGTTCATTGCAAAGGCAAATGCATTCTCTTCAAAAAGTAATTTTATGAGTCCCTTGGGAAAAGTCTCTGATAGCCACGCTGGAGCAGTAGCCAGAAAGGAGCTAACTCCATCCAAGAAAGGGATCAGGTTATCCTAACCCTCCTTTTTATTTGAATGTGGAATTTTAACAAGTGCTCCTGGGAGCTCCCTCCAGCACAACAATGAACAAGAAAGATTGCCAAGACAGACCAATGAATAAATAGCCAGGCTCAGAACAAAGCGCAGACTGTTATGCAAACCATGCAGCAAAGGCAAAAGTAGATTATTAAAAATCAATTTCTCCCTGGGGCCACCTAACTTCCACCCAGATACTTCTTCCAAAGTATTTCTAGGTCACTGGGAAACTGTCTGATGTTGAGCATGAGATACAATCAGAACAACTTTCCACTGTCACTACAAAAGGAGTTGCTTGTTGTTCTAGTGTAATAGAATTAGAAATCAGGTATGGAAATCTTATATATAAAAATCTATTGCAAAGTATGGGGCTATGTGTTTTGCAGGTCTATGCATTTACTCTGGACCAACCGCATTTTTCTCAGATTACAAACTCAGTTTGTAACCAGTGGGTTTCTGCATTAATTTATTACAGCTTGAAAAGCCGTACTACTCTTCTATGATCATGGAGATGAGATATTTTCACTGTAACAGGGAAGCCCTGTATCAGCATCTTTTCTTGTGGTAGCCACAGAAAGAGATCCACAGCCTGAAGGCCATCGTCCCCAGAAAGTATGCATCCAGAACTACCATCTACTAACACAAGCTACTACCCTGGTTTGCCTTAGTGTCAGAGAGAATTCTGTCTCCAAAACCCACTGAGGCACAGGCTTCTTTAATGGATACAGGTAAATCCTGACGGGTTGATGATATGGTTTAGAAACAAGGTAAGATATCTGACTCAGTGCTCCCATTATAACTGGCATCAGTATAGCTGGCTACAGGAGAACTGTACCTGTTTTGGCATGATTCCTGGGATGTTGTCCTTGGCATGTTCAGGGATGTAGAGCATTTTGAGGTGTTCATCATCAGAAAGAGCTTGCAGGTTGGCAGTCACCTTCCTGGCCAACTCCTCTTCTGAATTAATCCTTTTGTAATTTCCTTTGTTGATATTCTTGGTGAGATTGGATGCTATAACAGCCCCAATGTCCACAAAAGCATAATTTTCTGCCACAAGTTTACCTACAGTTTGAAGTGTCTGTGGCACCTGGGCACGCAGGTTGGCAATGTGCTGGGCTACAGCCATGGCTTCACTGGCTTGGATGGTGATGTGTGGCTCCACCCCAGACACACTCCACACTTTGCCAGTGACTGGGCTGAGAACCACTTGGCTGGGGATGGAGGCATACAGGGAGCTATTACCAACACGATAAATGCCCACTGAGAGGGAACCTCCTACTGTGGGCTCACCGATAACTGTGGCCCGGTGTAGATCCTTCATAGAGCGAGTGAAGGCTTCAGCTGCTGAGCCACTCATATGGCTTGTGAGGATGTAGACATCCTTGAGGGAGCCGTATCTCTTGCCAGTCACCTGAGGGAGAGTCCATACCTCAGTGCTGCGGGAGGTACTACGATCAAAGACAGTGTAGAGGTGTTGCCGAGGCTCAGGCTCAAAGAAGTAGGAACAAAGTATTGGGACAGCAGTGGAGTAGCCACCCGTGTTGTACCTCATGTCAATAATCATGGCATCTGTGTTAACCAGCTTGTTCCACACCATCTGCACGAGCTGAGGCCCAATGGCCTTCACTGTTTCTGCCTCAGCCATCATATCAAAGCGAAGGTAGCCCAGGTTGCCTGGCAGTACCTCAATTTTGAATAGCGCCTCAATGATATAGCTGAGCTCCTCAGGGCTGGGAATCATGTTGGGAAGCTGTTCTTCTGGTGTTGGTTCCACATGGCTGTGGAAAACATGAAGCCGATGGTCTCCTGAGGCCTCCTGCAAGTCACTGGTAAGCTGGGAAGCCAATGTCTCAAAGTCTACAGCTGATCGATAACCTCCTTGGGCCCGTTTGGTGCTGAGCATAGCACTGGCCTTCCCAGCCACTTCTGGGATGGCATAGTGAGCTTCTAGGAGTTGCCCAGTACTTTCCAAAAGCATCCCCATCTTCCTGTGAAAAGCTAGCACCTCTTCAGCCTTCTCCAGTGCGTCCTCAGCCAGCACTATGGCATCAGGCACAACTCCTCCGCCCATCCAGCTTTCTCCATGGTTGTCAATGAAGGTGATAACTGGTACTGTGATAGTTAGGCCACGGGTTATTCCCTGCTCAGGCTGCAGCAGAGGGAACGTAGAGGTGTGTGAGAGGCTGCCTGCTGTGATCTCCCCAATCAGTGTGGCACGGCCCAGGGACTGCATGAGGTAAGCAAACTCCTCAGCAGCTGTAGCAGTGTGGTGGCTGGTGAGCAGGTAGATGCCACGCTGAGCTCCGTAGGGCTGGGCCAGCAGTTCTGCCTGGCTGTTGTGCTCCTGCGTGTGGTTGGTGCGCCTGTCATAGGTTGTGAAGAGATGGACAGGGCCTACAGCGGGGTCTTGGAAATAGGAAAGTAGCACAGGCACAGCAGAGGAGGAAGGGCCTCCAGGGTTGTAGCGTAGGTCCACGATCAGGTTCTCTGTATTTTGGAGGGGCTCCCACACTTTTTTTACTATGTAAGGTCCCAGTTTAGCAAGCACAGAGGCATCAGCAAACTCATCGAAGCGCATGTAGCCCACATTGCCTGGCAACACTGACACCTTGAAGACAGTATCCACCAAAGCATGCAGCAGTTGCTCATTGTCAGGCAAGTTGGCTGCCACTGCAATTGGTGTCTCAGCAGGGGGGACAGCAGTTTCACCTGGCATCATGACTCGGACCAACAGGCGAGGGTCCTCGGATAAGGTCTGCATCTCAGTGTTGAGCTTGGTGGCCAAGTCCTCTGCTGACTGCACAGAAGAGAAGTCAGAAGTGGTGAGGTGCCGCAGAAGCACTGGCACACGCTCCACTAAGCTGTAATAGTCCTTTAATATGTCTATGAGGCGGGTTAGAGTGCCAGGCACTGCTCTGCGCACTGCCAGGATATCCAAGGATTTCTGCAAGGCTTGCTCTGCCTCAGTAGCCACACATGGCATCACTCCATTAACCTCCCAGCTCTGCCCAACCCCACTCAAGGGGCTCACAGACCGTGACACGGGAACCATTAGATAAAAATTAGAGAGGCCAATACGCAGTTTCTGGATGTCCAGTGATCCCCCAGCTGTCTTCTCCCCAACAGTGATAGCTCTGTTCATGTGCTTGAGGATGTAAGCCACATCTTCAGCCACTCCTGTGGTGTGGCGGCTGATCAAAACAATGACATCCTTTTCTTTGCTGTACCTCTCTCCCAACACTTTCGGCAATGTCCATATCTCTGTGGTGGTGTTGGAGGGCCGATAGTATACAGTCTCAACATGCAGCATCTTGTCTGCTTCATGCAAGTATGAGATGATGAAGGGAAGTCCGGAGATCTGTCCTCCAGTGCTGTGACGAAGATCTATCACCAGGGCAGATGTATTTATTAGTGTCTTCCATACCTTGTCCACCAGAAAAGCTCCAACTTTCTGCACAACATCCTGTCCTATGATATAATCAATCCTCAGGTAGCCAACATTGCCCTCCAGCTTGTCATATACAATCACATGCTCAATAAGACTCAGGAGTTGTTCACGAGTGGGGGAAGCCTCAGTTTCTTTTTCAGGAGCTGCATGTGGTGATGGCTCGTAGGAAATCACCAGTCTTGGGTCATTCAGAGCACCTTGCACTCCAGCTGTCAAGACGCTGGCCAGCAGTTTTGGATCTGAGATGTCCAGGATCTCCCCACTCTTGATGGCTTGTTCAATGGCTTCTTGCATTCCCACTAGGTTTTCAGGATAGCAGTAGTTATCCAGTAGAACTTTAGCCATGTCCAGCACTAGAGTTGGCTGAAAAATTTCCTCAGCTGATACGCTGCACATAATCAGAGAATAAAATAGGAAAAAATGTGTTCTGAACATTTTGTACTTGTATAGAATAAAAAATAAAATAGTATTTAGGAAAGAAGTCAGAAGCTCTTATCAGTCAGGATGAGCATAGCTCTCCGCTGACCCTCTGTGAATCACACTGAATTCCCTGTGATGATTCCAGGTGCACTGAACAGATAAAAATCTTTTATCTGCATTAAACCTTTAATCTCATTAAAATGGAGTGCATCATCCGAAGTGCACCAATAGATGAAGTTCAGCTTCTTGCTACTTTACAGACCTCTTATGAAACAGCAACAAACTTCAGTCATCAAGGAACATTTTTCTGGCAGTTAATTGTTTTCAAAAAATAATGCATTGCCTGTTACAAACTGGACCTGGCTTATCCTGACAGTGAATTGCTTAAATCCAAAACTTTGATTTTAACCACAATTAGAACAGCAGTCATCCAGTCTTTTAGCATTATTTATGAAAAGCTTATACCAGAAGATTTTTTCAGTGACTTAGTTGTATCAATATTTAATATTTTTTCAAAAGTTGTTGACAATACATTGTCTTTGGTGTTTTCCAGTCTGTGCTGCAAAGAACTGTTTTTTCATTCTCACTAAAGTCTCCAAACAAGGAACTCCAGACATTTGGAACAGCTCATAAAATCCAAGGTAATGACAGCCTGTTAATTTCTGTGCTGAGAATTGCCAGCATTTTAAACAGGACTTTGAAATACATTTGCTTCAACATAATGCAGCTAAATGTGAGGTGACTTTAATCTTCATAATTTGCACTCAATTAGGATTTACTTGTAATACCATTGAGTAACATATGGTCATGTCTGATGACAGCTCCCAGCCAATGGACTTTAGGCTCAACATACTAAAATAGAACGTGGGGGGTTGTTTTCTTCTGCTCACAATGTATTTGAGACCCTATTGTACTAAGAGTTTGAAAGAGGATCAGAATACGCGGGATGCAGCTGCAGGCTGTACCCATGTGAATTGTCAACACTCTTAGCTCCAGTATTACATGCCAAAGGCATACAAGAACAGATTCTTGGCTTTAAGTCTCAAAAGAGCTGCTACCCCAGCCATTCTGGTTGCTGGAGGTGGCTGTAGGAATAGACAAGGGCATGTGGGAAGGGCACGGTTTTGCATTGCTTTCAAAATGTCACTTGCTGCTACATATGAATACATGTGGAGGGGACAGTTTAGAGATGGCCTGCCCCAGCTGGGCACACTATTGGTGTCTTGAGCAATGCCTGCCTGAAACAAAAATCAGCCACTCACATGAACAAAGTTTAATGCAGTCCTCTTTCTGGGTCATTTAGTAGTAGGAATGAAAGAATTTTGGGAAGCTCCTTCCTTCAACATGTTTGTATAGGGATAGCCTAGTCTATATACGCAGGTTCTATTTCATCCCATGCTTGATTTGTGCCTGTGTGTATGTAAATGTACAAATGATGGAAAGTTAAACATATTCTTGTGCCTTTTTTCTACCCATATAATGAGTTTTCAGAAAATGTCAAGCACTATATAAGCTTTCTGGGTACGAAAAATATTTATTTATTTATTTATTTATTTTAAACCTTAACCACAGATAATCTGTAAAGTGGTGAATATAAGTGTTGGAGACCTGAGAAACAGTTTAAGCAGTTTATCCTGTTGTGCCCCTTTGAGTCTGCTTAAAATTTCAAGGCCTGTGGTGTTTGTCAAAACTGACTGGAAATTCTATATTCATATATGAGGAATAAGAAAGTATGACATTTAAATGTTATGAAGATTTCCATATCTGTGTGCACTGCCTTTGTTGACATTATACTAAAGATTAAAAAAAATATATATATCCAACAAAAGGAACAATTGAATTGTTCTAAGAGTCCATTAAAGATAGGACTGCTCTACGGCAAAAGCTATAAAACATGATGCTATAATCACAGGTATCTGTGATAACCAGGCTGTGCTCTCATTTTCAAAAATTAAATCCTAGTTTAAAAAATGTAGCCAATTACCTTGTCAAAGGAGAGGACTGGGATATAGCTGGAATTTTTGTTGATAATGTAGAAATAAGTAATTAAGCTCCAAGTTTGCCACATTTTGTGTGCCTGATTGGTAGTGAAAAAGTGAGATTCAGACTTGTTGCATCTTTGTAGTCTAGTGTGTGCATACGTGTGTGTGTTGGCTGCTCTGTGTTGTGACAATGTGTGATACCCACCACAGAGCTGACTCCAGGACATTATCACCAGCTTGAATTGCTCTTCTTGCTTTCTTCTCGCAAAGGATAATCCAGTATTCCAGGGCAAAAGTAGCTGGGATAAAAATGCTCCAGCAAAACCACACTTTGTCCAGAAATTGACATTTGAGCTCAAGGATTTATTGCCAGAGCTGAATTAATTTCTCATGTGGACAATACAGTGGACAGGGCTTCAAAAAAATGGGCTTCTGTTTCTAGCTCTGCCACTACCCTACTGAAACGACTTTGGGCAAATTGATTTCTATTGCTTTTCTAATCCAAGACTCTTCTGTCTGTTTAGTTTATAAAGTCTGGGGGGCAAGGGATCTCTCTTGCTACACTAATGTCTACCACATACGCTGCACTTCCAATGTCAGACTGTGCCTCTAAAGGCTGTTAACACAGGAATAATTGTGTACACTGCAGTGTATGCTAAGACAATTAGTTCAACAGGCAAGATATTGTACTTCATAAATCCCCAACTTAATTCTTAAGCACCATGCACTCTGTACACTGTCTAAAGCAGGGGACTTTCAAAATAAAACCACTAGGAGCTGTGGTACATAGTTGTATCACATGTGATCTTAATTCTGACACTTCACTTTGAAGTGCTTAACTCTTTAACCGTAATTCACTATTAGCATTTTGTTCTGCATTCCACCATCTTTCAATTAACTTGAAAGTGAAGATATAGATTAACTAATTTTGTTTTGATGGAGAACAAAGCATAATAATTAAGAAGAAAAAAAAAAGTGAGATCTAAAACAATGACATAAAAATGTGTAAACATGAAAGAGAGATTTTGCCTGCTGGGCTAGGGGGTTGGGTTGTTTTGTGGGTCCCCTTTTCTTCTTTCTTCTTTCTTCCTTTACTCCCACTGGGTGCTGGAGGAGGGCATGCCCAGAAGCCAAGGAGCAGGGTTGCAAAATGGATCCATTGTGACAGGAATTGGGAAAAAAAGTACAATAATCCATGTCCCTAAGAATATGTCAAGATGGATCTCTATTTCTGTCTGTCTGTGCAGTAGCTCTGAGCATACAACTTTCTATCCCACAAAAAAAAGAGAATGACATTGCATGTTTAGAGAGTGTACATAGTACTTTCCTTTTCAATCCTTCAGTACATAGTACGTAATGGCCACCTATATGAATTAATGGTGCAAAAATTTAAAGTATTTGCTATCAAAACTGTAGAAACTCAAAGTTTCTGGATTTCATGTAAGTAACTTAATTCTGATAAGTAAATCACAGTAAATCTTCAAAAACCTTTTTTTTTTTTTCTAGAAGGGCCTTCTTTTACACTGTATTCTTCTCTGTGACTTTCTACTTTTAGAATAGACATAACTTGAAAGGATAAAGGTTTACTCAAATTATCTCATTTTCAAACTTCTGTGCAAAGGGTAGCATAGAATGTTATGAGTGTTTTATATGAGGTGTTAATAGTCACCTCATCTTAATCTGAATATAACAGACATAGATGAATAGCCGTAAGAACCATACTCAGAAAGAAGATAGCAATAAACACTGATCATTTTTGATCAATATACGTGCCAGATAGTTATCTTCCATAGCTAAATAGGTTCTATATATCCTACATTAAATTCATTATATGATTTTTTACTTAGCATTTAAGGAATTAGTTTCACAGATTTACAATATTCTTCTCTACTTTAGGCATATTAAGAGGCTAAAAATATTGAAATAACCATTTCCTGCCTGTGATTTTTGTGAAATCATAAGATTAAAACAGGAACTCTTTTCTGTTTTTCACATATATATTGTGCATTTTATTGTGTTCTAAAGATTTTCATATCAGGAAGACTGGAAAAGGTAGCTGAGGTTTATACAAAGCTAGGATTTTGAGAAATATGCATAAGATTATGATTAGTTTCACCCAGTAAAATCCAAGATATGGAAACACTCCATACTGCAATATATTCCTCAAGTTCAGATACATGTTCTTCCTCATGTTTTTTGCTATTGCCCTTTGTCTCTAGCACACTGAAACAAACCTCGTTTCACATTATAAATGTAAAATAAATGTTTTCTCAACATGTATGAATTAAAAGCTAGGACAGTGGAAAAGTTTCACACTGGATCTTTTCAGTGATCTCTGATTTCTTGTGCCCTGAATTCAATGTGATATGTACCACTCATTTCTACCTTTGTAATTTTTCTTAAATAGTGTTAGAAGGTGAGAATCCTTCCTTATGTGGTGTGGATACTTCAGGCTTTGGAGAAGAACAATTTACTTACTCCTTTCTTCCTTCATAGAACTTATATTTTTATCAAATATGTTGTGCAATGTAATTCTGTTCATTGAATTATCAGTATCTAGCATGTAATTCTATCATGAAGTCTAATTTATAATATAACCCATATATTATTATGAGATATTATCTCATATATTATGAGATATTTTATATCTCATAAACTTTCATGACCCTTTAAAATCTGTCCATGAGTATTTCATTTTCTGACTTCCTGTAGCTATGAACTTCCCACATGCTCAGAGAAGAGGCTTTTTTTTTTTTTTTTTTTTTTTTTTTTTTTTTTAAGATTAGTCTGCCTGCATGGTCTGAGTAATGGACAGAGTAAATATTTTGGTACTTGTCCGATACTCCCTGTTTGTCATCTGCAGCTCACCGTTCCTTTAGAGGACCACTATAAATCATTTGGTCACTGACAAGCTGCAGTAGCAGGAAGCTCATCTGAAGGTGGCAGCAAGAGCTGCTTTCTCTCTGGGAGAAATAAATTCTTGAACCTAGAAGCTATGCCAATAAGGTAATGGTGAAATTTGGACACAAACTACTTTTCATTTTAATAGAGCCTCCTAATATAGACATATGTAAGAATTAGTATTAATTTAAAGGTGATATTGGGCTCCTAAATACTGAGAGGTAGGGTTTATTAGCTTAATCATGGGACTATGGTAATGAGAATGTTAATGTTTCCAGGACTTTGGTAAGTCTTTCTAGACAAACCTCCCCTGTCTTTTATAGATGTACAAGTCTGGGTCAGTACTACTTCATGGCTGTCTGTGTCGGGCATAACTGAATTGCAAAGGTATGGTCTATGGCTGTCTTTTCTGTTCTGTTCTTGCAATTCTGGTACAAAGAGAACCTTGTACCTGAGAAGGCTTTCTAAGTTGCTTGGTAGTACAAATAACAAATAATATCACCCTAAGATTCCTTTATAACTTCTAAGCTAAAAAAAAGTAATGTTAGGTTTTTGTTCCTAAGTCTTGCAGCTTTTATGCTGTACAAACCTGTAGAGATTAAAATTGAAGCTGGTGGAAGGCTTTTTTTTCTTTCTTTCTTAATGTTGAAAACTTTCCATTTTATGAAAATAACTCTAAAAATGAATAATGATTACATTTGTAACAATAATACCTTAAATCCAAATTATGTTGGATATTAATTTTCTTCTGCTAACCCTTTCCCTTCCCTTTCCTTCCCTTCCCTTCCCTTCCCTTCCCTTCCCTTCCCTTCCCTTCCCTTCCCTTCCCTTCCCTTCCCTTCCCTTCCCTTCCCTTCCCTTCCCTTCCCTTCCCTTCCCTTCCCTTCCCTTCCCTTCCCTTCCCTTCCCTTCCCTTTCTTTTTTTAGTGTCCAAGAAAGAGAAAAGCAAAGGAATAAAAGAATGAGAAGACAACTTATATTTTTTACTAAAAGATTGGGGAAGGGTAGAGGATGTATATTCCCATTTTGAAACATCTCTAATTTCAGCCAGGATTCATTGTATGATCAGGAACAGGTGGAGAGTCATGGCACAGTTGTAATAAGCTCACATTGACAACTCTGCTGAACTGCCATATTCTAGATAAGCAGAAAATTCAGGAGGGTTTCAGATAAATGTATTGCAGCTATCCAGCCTGAGCTAATTTAAGCACACAGTTTTGCATTTTTGGGAAGTAATTTGTCAACAAAAATAGGAAATAGATGTGCAGTCCTTGGAGAACTGGTGTATTGTGTGTTTGCACTATACTATCCGTATCCTGTAGATCCTACACTTCTAATGGACTTGTTTGTCCAGCATGATGAACCAAAACAGAGTTAACCGATACTAAGTAGTAAATATTAAATATATCATCAGGAGCCCTCCTATCCTTAATATTTGAAAAAGTGAGAACTCCAGTAAGGCCTTTATTTAACTACCAGGTACTGCAAACAGCTTCCACCAAACTCATTCCTAGAAACTGTGCTGCTGATGCCTCTCCAGCTCTGAGGGCAGATGAAAGCCACCCTGCTGCAGGTGTCTACTTCACTGGCCTAAAATGAACATGCTTGGTATGTCCAGGCAGATGAGCCATTGCTGTCTTAAGCCATAGTGTTCGCCATAAAGAAGTATTTTCTCCACCACTACTCCAGAACTCCACCAGAAGCTTTGGTTCCCAAGGCCCAGACCGCCAGGTCATTGCTTGCTCAGCTCTTCTGGTGCACTGGGCCTGTGTCAGGACGTGTGAGGGCTACCAGCGGCACGGCAGGGCTCTGGCCAAAGCTAATGTCCTGGTGAGGGGACAGACTCATGGCGTCCCATTTTCCAGGGCTACACTGAGGCCTTTCTCCTGCGAAGCTTTCAGCTTACTTATGATTGACTATCCAGCATAAGCTTTGTGATCAGGTACAAAAGAGAAACAGGGCCAGCTTGGCATCAACAGGCCACACAATGGCTCTGAGGCAGCCTGGTGGCAGCAGTCAGCGCACAAATGGCAGCAGGGCAGTTGAGAGACGTGAAAAGAGCAGAAAAGGCTGTGTCCAGCCCAAAGGGAGACAGACTTTCCACAAAGACATTAGATTAATGCACCACGACATGGGGAATAACGAAAGGCCATGGCAGCCCAGAGCTGGTGCTGAGGCAGCGCGTGGGCCTCTCACAGCCTAAACATGGCACTGAGACAACGTGTGGGCCCCTCACAGCCCAGAGATGGCACTGAGACAGCACATGGGCCCTTCACAGCTCAGAGGTGGCACTGAGACAACGTGTGGATGGGACAGAAATTAGAGAATGTGAGGAACGCTGAAGAGGGCCCAAAAATGGCTCAAGGCATTTTGTAGGCCTCAGTCAGCGCCGGGGCCGCAGAGGAGATTTGCGTCTCAAGCACATCCAGCTCCACTCTCCTGCCCTACAGACAAGCAAGAAGAGCTCTTTGACCACCTTGCTCGCCAGAGACTGAAGAAGGACCTGCCCTGGTCTTCTCTGTGCTAAACACGACAAATGGTAAGTTGGGGAGTTCAAATGGGTAGAGGGAGGTGGTTAGCTCCAAGATGGCAGCTAGAGGGGAAGCAGAGCTTTTGTTACAGTGTTTGAGGACAGGACCTTCCTCACACAGATTGCTCATTTACTACATGTTGTCTTTGCCAGATTGTTCTGTATGCCCTTCTGTAGCTTTCCAGTCTTCCCTGCAGTAACACACATCAATTCAATGCTGCATATGGGCAGCTACAGTGAGGTGTTAATACCTCCTAGAGTGCGGGCCTATGTGGACCTACATGTGCGTGATTACTGTGACCAGGCACAGAGGGAGGCTGGAGGAGACCCAGCTGTGGTCTGGGAGATGTGTTAGAGCACAATCGTGTCTGAAATTATAAGCCTCCTTGAGAGAGAGTCTAAAACCTGTTAATCTGAATTTCAGGAGTTGCCAGTTCTGGGTTAACATTTCTGTTATGGTCAAGGATATTTCCAGCATAAAGGTATCTGAGCAGATGCCAGCTGACCACCTCCAGATTCCTATGAGGCTATTGTCTTTTAATCAGTAATCATGAAAATGGAGATCTTCTTGGCTTTTAGTGATCACTGGTGCTGTGTTGTTGTTAAGTGATAAGTTGCATCTGCTGTTCTTCCGTGTTGAGACATGACACAGAGGATATTTTGCCTGCTGCGAACACAGAAAATGTGGGAAGATGTGTAAAAATAGCAACAGTTTTATCTCCTGAACAGCTTCCACCAGCTCATCATTGTATCTATTAAGAATGGAGTACTGCTGTGCAGCCTTAAAATTGTCTGTGGCCGTCAGCTGGTGATTCTGATGTTAAAATGGCCGTTGTTACACAGCTAATGGGTCTGAATAAGAGGAGGTACTTCAGCCACATGTTTATGTTAAGCAAGTATGATTTGTTTTTAACTGTACGTGTGCTGGACATTGCACAAGCCCCAGCCTGCTCCTCAGTAGCAGCAAGGTGCTGGTCAGTATCCACCGTTTGGTGGTGAGGGGGGCTTTTCTCAGTGTCTGATGGGGCCTGGCTTGATGCAGGTGGCTGGGTGCTTTGCCTGCTCATGCAACCTGTATATTTTCTAGTGCTTTTTGGCCACCAGACTGATTCTTTGCACCCCAAGGAAATTGAAAAGTGAACTTGGGCAATTGTTTAAAATCAAATGTTCAAAACTACATAAATTGAGCTGCTAAATTTACAATGTAAAACATAACACCAATTTGACACATACTTCAGCCATGCTGTAGGTAGCATCTGTAGTCACGACTGGGTTCTCATTCCTTCTTGACCCTGATCATCACCCTGTGGAAAGATTCATGTTTCAATTTACTGCTATACCAACCAAAATGTTAAGCCTTTGGGAACGTGATCATTAGAGCTGGCTGGAGGAGGAATTTTTGTTGTTGTTGTTGTTGAAATACAAAAGAGACTTGTACTACAGTTTTGGGAAAAAGTCTATAGAGCTTCACTGGAATTCTGATAGCATAGCTAGGATCTGAATTTTTGAGCCAAAAAAAAAAAAAAAAAAAAAAAAAAGGCTTTAGATATTTTTATGTTTATTTTTTATTCAAGTAAGTTTGGAAAACAAAGATTGATATTTGACTTCTGAGTGTGACAAAAAGAACAACTGATTGTAGAGAATTTCTCTCTGTGGGGACTGGTCTTTCTTCTTCCTTACTATTTCATTTTTTCATTTGATTATGGATGAAGTCCTGTGTTCGGTGAACTTGGAATTATAACAAGGACCTTGTGTTTAGATGACTTAAGAGCAGCACACAGTTGCAATTACCTTAACACATGGGTGAATAAGTTTTCTAATGTGTTCACACCACATACTTGTTTGGTGTTTTTTTTTTTTTACTTTAAGAGGACAAGTTGTACAAAATATCATGAGCTTAGGAGACATCAACAAAACAAGGAGAGAATACAGGGGGGTCTGAAAGGAGTAAGACATAACAACTGTAAGATGACAGAAGCCAGTGGGGAGTGGTAAAATGAGAGGATGTCACAGGAAACCTAACAGTTTAATGACATGCATCTATGGATGGATGGAGTTTGCATGGACCCAGACCTCAGATCTGATCCAATTGCAGCCCAGTTCTAATGAAAAAGGCTATAAATCAGTCCCAGGATTCTGATGAATCGTGCTTTGTGCTCATGGTCTGTGATATAACCATCAGTTCTCGATGGAATTACAACCATCCTACTCACACTCACCTGCTATTTTCTCTGTATTAAGTTAACAATAGTAAATAAACTGCATATTAGATTTCAAGCTGAGCTGTTCGTGCCGAATGAATTCGTCTTGCCCAAAGGCTGCCTTAATTTAAAACATATGTATTCATTTAAATCATGTTGCTTCCATACATTAAGCTTCTGTTCAGACAATATTCAATATTTTGTACAGATATATAGTTTGGTATGAGTTTGAATCAAAAATGTTCTCTGATAGATTTATTTATTTATATTTTTTTTTTGGTGGAAGGTAGAGTGATAGAAATGAGGTGGACCATGAGAGCTTTGTACAGCACTTAAAACTAGCACCTGAAAACAACACAAGACACTGTATTTTCTTGCATGGGCAAAACCTTCACTAAAATCAAAGAAAGTTTTCTTTAATTGCAGGAAAGATGGGATTCTTGTTTAGTGAAAATACAAGTGAAGTCAGGAGGATCATTGTATAATAGTGTATTTATCTCATGCAATAGCATGTGTCCCAAAACATAGACAGGAATTCTCAATTAATCACATTTCTAAGGCATGAAAGAATTTTGTATGTAAAATAGAGTTTCTCCCAAGAAAAAAATAAAGAAAAAGAAAAACAGTTTGGTGGCAGACTCCAAAAAAAATATTTAGACCCCTAAAAATGAGTTCTTTTCACAAGTGCTGAGCACTGCCAACCCCCACTGGTGTTAGGATACAGCTCCTAAGACTGGACATTGTTTGACTGCATGTTCTTGCAAAGAAATACTAAGAATATGCAGTAGGTCAAAGTGGCTCTTTATCTTTGTCCAGAGATAAGGGCTGCTGTTCCTCCTAGGAAACAGTGTCTTAGAAGCGGAAGGCTGTGCTTCTTATCATTCAAGTATGTGCCATAAAGGGGTAAAAATAGGGACATTGAGGATAAGAAAGATGAAACTGAGGCACCTGTTACCCACAGAAGGAAACTTGGGAATGAAACAAGATGGAGAGTCTCGTCTGCTTTGGAAATTGAAAAACTTCACTTAGAGGAGTAAATAATTTGTCTTAAAATGATCTGTAAAAGCCGTTGAGATTACTGACATGAGAAAAGGCTTGCAGAATTTTGACTCCTGACTTTACCATGCAGACCAAATTCAGTTCACTGAGTTTTACAAAAGTTGAAAATATCAGAGTTGGATGAAAGAATTGTATTTCTCTGTCTATTAAACATGTACAGGACATCCTCAATCCCATAGGCTGCTTTGAAGATGCTTTGGTTTGTGACCTGAACTGAACTGATTTAAGAGAAAAGTTCAAATAAGGTATTCAGATTACATCACTGTTAGAAATAATGCATGGTTCTTTCAATCTCACAAAACTTGAATTCATGATACATAATGCAGACTATTTACAGCGATTGCGATTTTTTAAATGCCAGCTTTCCTTCAAAAGAAGCGGCACCAACAGCCAGCCCAATGCTGTGCTCCAAACCTTGTTTGCAAGGATTTTCATACTCATTACTAATGTACAGATTTACAGAGAGCAGAAGGAGGTGTATTCTTATTCTCAGAGCTCCTGCCTTGTATACTACCTGCAGCCACATTCTGCCACTTTCATCCCTTCATAGTTATATATCAACGTGGGCACCCCAGCATCATCCTTATAGAGAATGGAGATGGAATCCAATTTGGTTGGAACACAGCAGGCCTTAGAAGCTTTTTTCGGGTTTTGGAGGTGCACCAGAGTTTGGACAATAGCATGTTTTGTTGGGGTAACGTTATCTGTCAGAGGGAAGAAGCAACCTCCTTTGCACTCAAAAGCCTCGTAGTCTTTGGGAGCGATGATCCAGGAATCCCAGCCAATCTCCTCAAAGTTCACATGGAGGGAAGTTCTCCGGCAGTGGTTGGCTCCGATGCTTCTCTTGCTTCTGGATGAATGCCGGCGGGGTCCAGTGACGGCCTTTCCCTGTCCCGGTTCTTCTTCTTCAGATGAAGTGTTGTTCTTTCCTAATTTATTTAGTACACTTTCTTGTTCATGAACAATCATCTCCCGGAGCTCCACCCTGGTCTCTTTTGTCCTATTGCTGCGGTCATTGGAGAACACTATTAACAGGGGCAGATTTTTATTGTCAGGAGTAACACTGATATCCAGCTTTCCACAATTGAAACCACCCAGAGCCTTACTCTCAATAACAACCTCTAGCTTGTTTTTAGTCTTCATTTTGTCTGCCCTGACCCATCTTTTCACAGCGCTGGATACTTCAAACATCTCCCAGCCACACTCCCGGATATTGTGGGAAACGAGGAAAGATTTTGTGCTTTCTGGGTTTTCCCAGTGGTCTCCATCTAGAACATCATAAATGACCATGTTGCCTTCCAGTCTAGACAGAGACCCAACTTCCCTGTGACAGGAGATAAAAATTCTCAGTTCAGCTCTGGTGATTTCCTCATATCGTGGAATAGAGATGTTGAAGAGCAAGATGTGTTTCTGAAATGGATTTTCTTCTGCTGAAGCTAAAGAAACAACATCTGCAATAGGAAATTAAAAGACGTGGTTACAGTGCTTCTGACTGTCCAAATAACTTGCTTTTCAAAGATGCAGGATATATTTTGGGAGTGAAATAAGAACATGGTTACCTAGTAATAAAAAAAATAATCCTGTCTTCTGGCCAGGTTTCAGGAGCAGGGAGCAAAAAGCCAAAATGGAGGTCCCTGATGGTGGTGGTATTTTCACTAAGATTTCATGGTCAGGTGAGTATGGGGAGGAGTGGAGGGATAGTATCAAGAGTCTGCCTAGAAGAAGGTGTGGGTGATGCTGGTCAATAGTCGGTGAGTAAATAAAGCACCTAAAGCGTCCAGATTTAGCATTTTCCTGAAGAGATTTTTACAGAAAGGATTCTCAAAAAAACAGTGGGAATTTACCACTGATCATCATGCAATGGGATGAACTGCTCCCCCAGTATGGAGAAGTATAGTACGTACTTGTCTCTTTCTAGAATTAATTGTGCTGAGGCTTTTGCCTCAGCTGTCTTCAGATAGCTTTGAAAGCAGCTTGGGTTACTGAGAGTTAGGGGAAATAGAAAAGCATTTGAAAAACCTGAATCGAAGCTTGAGGGTCTGTCTAATTTGGCGCTTGGTGATAAACAGCCTTTCATGTTTGGGTCTGTTCCAGGCTGGACTCACTGAGCTTGTGTGATATATATATATATATATATATATATATATATTTATTTTCCTGCAAATGTATGTGCAGTACCAGCAGTCTGCTGCCTTGGGAGGGGCAGATATTTGGCTGGAAGATCATACTGGTAATGTTTTAAAGTGATCACTGACTGATGTCTGTTTAATGGTCAATGTAAGATAATTACTCAAGCATCATTGAGTTTTAGGGTAATTTTAATTGGCTACTTTTGACACTTGGCTACTTTTTACACTTTTTCAGTGATCACCCTTTAAAGAAGTCTGAGAGGAGAGGGGGATGTGGGAATTGTAATCTAGCTGTCATACTGTTAAGGTTTCTTTCCATTTCAGGACTAGGGTCACTGATTTGAGGATTTGGAGATCTCTATAGTTCTGTTACCTGCATATGTCTATTTTGTATATAAACAGATTCTCCCTGTCTCATTTCTATCCCAAGAATTGCATTTACTTATAACTATTTTTTACTTCTTCTTTATGTAGAGCTTTCAAAAATCTATTTATTTTTACACAGATCTTGATCTTTTGTTGTTGTTGAGACAAGCTTGACTTCCACTTTCCCTGTAAATCTGCCTGCCTAACCCAGAATCTGTGGGGAGCAGTGCTGTTCCTTGCTTGGATCCATAGCAAATTTCTCAGCTGGCTACTGTGTTTTTAAGGATGACAGGAGCCTATCAGAAAGAAGAGCTTTATTGCATGGATATCTCAGTTATAGATGATCAAAAGTATTCTAACACAGAAGCTCAGTGACAAATCTCTAGCTTGGAGAAACATGGTTCATGTAAATGCTGTATTCAGGGCATTGACTCAGTTGATGCATTTGAGAAGAGAATATTGTACAATAAGAACATCAAAGAAGAAAACTTAAGGTAATGGTATTTTTTAAAGATGAATGAAATGATGGAGCAAGACTACAGTCCAAAATTTTAACCTGCTTAGTTTCTAAATAATCTGTGGACACTCAGTTTCCTCAGAAATTCAAAATAATCTGAGTAACTGTTGTCCATATAATTCTCCAAAAATTCTAGTCCACATATGCAGGACTTCTCCTACCTTCAGTACTGAAGCTCCTCACAATGTTGGATGCGGGGATGGAGGACTTGTCCGCAGTGTATCTGTTGTATAAATCAATCATGAATTGTGGTGGTTCTTCCTTGGTCTTCACTTGTGAGGGGACCCTTGATAAATTCAAACTCCGTAGTAAATCCATCTTCATATTCTCCAGGAAAGATTTAAAGTCAAAATGGGTCTCCTCTTCCACTTCCCCAGGATCGTGAAAGGGTGCGTCAGACTTTCCCATAGCTGATAACTTGTCCCAGTTTTCCAAAGGCTTGCCTCTTGTCAGACAGGCAATGATATTGAAAACAGACAGTGCAGCTAATACTCCAAAATAATGCATTTCTTATATATTTACTTTCTGATGGAGAGACGAGAGGACAGGGGTATTTTAGCTGATTAAAAATGTTGTACTATTACAGACAGAGGAAAGGAGATGGAAGGCAAACAACTGGAATGCCCTTTGCAAATAACTTTCTTGTGTTCTTTTTGCAGTCTGCTTCAAACCCCAGCCTCTTGTCAGTTGTCAAGCAGATTGGTTGTACACTTGCCCTTATCTGAGTCATTGATGCCATGCTTCAGCTTCTGTTATCTAGCAAAGCTCTTAGTTAATGAAGATTCTGTAAACATCTGACAAACACATATGGCTGTTGGGAAGGACATTGTATATTGTAAAGAATCCACATTTCACTTAAAGGTCATCATTGCTTAATTACACTCTTTTTATCATTTCCTTTCCAACACAGACAGAAGCTTTCTTAGGGACGTGGAGGATTACACAGTTTTCATCAAGACTAGAAAACAGAGATCTAGAACAAAATTACTCTATTGGCTATTAGTAAATAACATCTCACAAATCTCTGTCATGGTCCCATAACCTGCCATCAGAAAATCTCCAGTAATTTGATGGAGACCTATGATTCTGCAAGACATGATCTCATGGCAGTGCAAACAACCTTAAAACTTAATTCGTTTATCAGCCAAGAGCTATTATTTGTACACAGTGAAATATCTGTTTTGTGTCAAGTTTGCTTCGTGCTGTTTGCAGGCTTGTCCACTTGCAGTTTGATTCCTTTGGTAGATGGGAATTAATTATTGTTTTTATAGTATCTTACGTAATATATTTCTTAGATTCTTGATGGTCATTCCAGTCCCAGAGCAACCAGTCATTATTTTGGTGACCTCAGAATAAAGACAGAACTAGGCCTTCAAGGCTAGGCGGAAAGTAAGAGGTCTCTGTGAAGATTATCTATGCAGATAATGTTACCCATGAAAAGGAGTGGCCAAGAGAAAAATACAAGTTTGATGATATCATTTCTCATGATACAGAGGAAAATAAAAGGTGTATTTATAAGCAAAAATGGCACTTGTTATTTATCTGAATGAATCTCATTATCTAATCTAGTGATACATGTTCTGTCAATATTATTAACGCTTCATTTTTAATAAGCACAGCTTAATCCACACTGCACATGTGCCACAAAGTCTGAATAGCACTAGGAGCTCTTACATTAAAAAAAAAATCGCAAAGATACAGACAAGATTTTGTCCTTCCTTCTCTAGATTTGTAGCAGGGCATATACGGTGTTTAAAGTGAGCCCAGACTTCTCAAATGCTCACTTTTGTATCTGTTCAGTTGACAACTGGGATCCGACAGTCTGGTAAACTGTGTTCCTAACCTGTAAAGTGAGAAAGGATTGCTTTGCACTGATGCTGTTCTCCTGAATTAGCAAGATTGTTATGTATCAGGTATCTTCTACCTGTGTGCAAGGGCCTGATGGCTTGTGTTTGGCTAAAGCATAACTTTTGAAGGGTCTCCAGAATATCTGAAGATATCAAAAACTGGAGTGTTTTGTTTTGTTTTGTGTTTTTTTGTTTGTTTGTTTTGTTTTGCTTTTTTTTTTTTTTTTTTTTTTTTTTTGTAGCACTTTTTCCAGAAGACCATCACTCACACTTAAAAAAATTCCTGGTACTTCATTTATTGTTTCATTGTGTCTGCCTTCACCTTCTAGACACTCGTTCTTTCCTGCTGGCTTAAGGAGCCCCACAGTGCAGGCATTTCCCCCCTTTCAAAGTACTTGCACAGTGTAATCAAGTTACTTCTCAGTTTGCTGTCTTATAAAATAAACAGCTACAGAATATATTTTCCAGAACGTGTCTAAAAATGCACCGACTCTTCTTGTTTTCCCTGTGTCAGAATTTCAGTGCTTTTTTGAAAAGGTGAACCATGTGAGGCTACACATGGTTTTTCTAGTCCACCGGTACCACATGCAAAAATAAAATCTCATTTTCTTCTGGGGTTTGCTCCACTGTGCATCTTTTAAGGCTTTCATGTACCTCTTTTTACATAGTAGCATCACTGTGGATGCTCATATAATGCTATAAGACCATGACAACCACCAAAACTGTTTGAAAAGTCATGATTTTCAAGGATGCAATCTTCTGCTCAGTAGGAACAACCTCCATTTCTTGTGCCTAGGTACAAAGTTCTGCATCTGTCTACCTTGAAATGAGTTTTGATTATATAGAGTGCAGCTAAATCAAGATGTCTATACAAATACTCCTCTCCTAAACACTCCTATGCAGATGCTGTGGATGTTGTCATATACAGACTTCCAGTTCATATACGAAGATGTCACATAGTGTCAGGCCAAGTGTCATCTTTGCAGAAACTTTACAATGAACAGTTTCATTCAGTGACAATTGCTTTTGAAAGATGCTCTTTGAGGTTTGGCAGTGAGACAGTTGTTAATTCATTTGATAAACAAATACATTTATATTGTCCAGTGGTTTCTTCTAATTGTGCTGCCTTGTGAAAGTGAAGTGAAACAGTCCAACAGTCCGCAAAAACCTAAGTGCATTCTATCTGTTGCTTTTACCTCTGACAATTAAATTGTGATCTCAAAGAATGAAATGAATTTTGGTTTAGAAAAAAATGTCCTTTAAACTTCGCTGACTAGTATCAGCTGTTTTCCTGGCTTATCTGTCTTTAATCATGCAATATTACTATATCCTCAATTCTGTCAGGATTAATTGTGGGATTATCTTGACCTGCTATTTTAAGTGTTTGTCAATAAAACTTTCTCAAGAAATTTTAACACTGAGTGGAATGGTTTATAGGATGGTCGTAGAGACCAAAAGGGCTGTTGGAGGAGAAGAACCAAGAGAGCAGTGATGGTGATGTTTTCCAACAGCAGCTGACTGCATTTGTGCCATTTTAAAAATAATTTAAAGTGTTTAATGCAAAGCTCCCTTTTCTGAAGGAAGTTTAGATGTCAAATACCAAAGACACAGAAAGTAATAGCCACTTCTATACAAATAGTGGTTAAGGCCTTGGGCACATTTGAGAATTGACCGATACAGCTAAACCAGAAAATGCCTTGTGAAAACATGGGTTTCTACTCGAAGTTACACTATTCCCCTAAATGAAACAAATTTTACTAATAAGAGAATTGTTTTGTTTGTATAGTAATTTTGGTTTGCCTGTGGTAAATTGCATAGTTATGCCAACAAACCTTTAAATGCATATTTATCTTTCAAGGTTTTCTAGGTATCCTAAAGAGTAGTAGGAGTAGCGTTTTACCTTATATCCTATAGACCTTACAATAGATTGTAGGATGGTATCTCTATTTTGTAATTGCTTGCATGGCACATCTTGGAAAGCAAATTTGTACTCAGTGACTAACTCAAGATACAGAAAAGATTCCCGGAGGAGAACAAAATGCAAAAGACCATATCATAAATACACTACACTAATATGTCATTCTGTTCACAGCTGGTGCTAAATGGGATCAAGATGACCTACAAAAAAGGATAAATCTTCATGTAGAACAGAAATGGCAATGGCTTAACGTACTTTGGAAAGTGTTATGCTTAACGGCTGTTCTGTTGGAACAAATGATGGATTTCTGAGAAGTTTCTCATTTTTCTTTATGCATCAGCATTACTCTGTCAACATGAGTTGAGTGTCTCTTGATTTATAAAAACATAAGACCCTACATTTTTAATGGAGGTCTTTAACAACAATAGTATGCAAAGGTTTGTCCTGGTAGTACGCATGTAAATCCCTGTAATGCTTTTAGAGAAGAAATGCCTAGCAGGATCCATGACCTTTGGGCAATTGCTACAAGGTCTTAGAGATAACTACTTCTTAATGAGAGCTGTTGGGAGGAACTGGGAAGAACTGTTGATAGAGTAACCTTGCAGACACTCCCATGTACACAGAATCTTGGTTTGGTGTAGGTTAGCAGGAAGGGCCACATTTACACACCCCCTGTTGTCTGGTAATCTGCACCCCATGAATATGGAATATTTATGGTAGAAATTACCTAGCGCTTTAGCAGGAGAGGAGCCTTCCAGGTCAAGTCATTCATTTGAGGGTAGTGTGTGTTTTGTCCTTTCCATGAGCAATACAGCTCCAATAAGATAAGCTGGTACAGAAGGTTGGACTGTCCCTTGAGTGAGAAAGGCTCCACAGCTTGCTCTCCGTACTACCTCACAGACCTCAGAAGGTTGTTCTGCTCCTGCTCCGCTCAGGTGGTTGTACAGCAGGTGGGTGAAAGTGGAGCACATCATCAGCATGTCCTGGCACTCAGGGATGCAGAGGAAGAGAATTGACTGGCTCAGTAATGGAACAGCAGCTCTTAGAGGAGTGCTGCAGTTATAGGGGCTACAACAGATGCATCAGCAGAGGATTATGCAGGAGTTAGAGGGAAGCAGAGTTATTTCTGTTAAGACTTTTAATGGAACAACTGCCAAAGATTGTGTCCCATTTTGAAGTTCTCTGTTGGAAAGAGAATTTAATGAAAGTTCTGGAAAGACTTCAGAAAAGAGCCATGAGAAATTGTTTTGAGACTTGGAATAATAAGAAATCAAAGTACCTATTTAAATCTTAGCCAAAATGTAATTCGACCCTGCTCTATATACTAAAAATACACAGTGAAAGTATTTTGGATAATAGACAAAAGGGATCTAATAAAAATAGGTTACAGTAAAATCCAGTGAATTGAAGCTAAAGCTTAATAAATTCAGACTAGGATTAAGCCACTGCATTTGAACAAAGAGCACTAACTTTTGGAACAACTACTCATAGTCTAGGAGAGATAGTCCATTACTTGAAATTGTTAAAGCCAAATTTATGCAGTTTTTTCAAAGGTATTTCCAAGCTCAAAACAGAATATCCATAATACATGGTACAGAAACTACTGAGCAAAAATCTTTGAACTGTGCTGTGCAGGAGGTCAGTGCAGATGATCAGAGTATTCCATTCATGCTATAATCTGTTGAAGCACATTATGACAAGCTTAACATGCATTTACATGTTTCCATCTAATTACCAGAATGTAGCAGAGTGGATTTATAGAAAGACAATTCAACTATTTTTAGATACTACTGTACCTTTAATTTATTAGCTTTTGTTAAAAGCATGTAACAATCTAGAGGATATAAAGTATAATTTACAAAAATATAAATCTTGGTTATTTTATTTTTAGTATTTCAACATATTACTATAAAGAAAGTGTTACTCAGAGCATATGTTTAACAACCTGAAATTATATCCAGCAAACCAAAATTGTGGGATACTATATATGTCTTTCGTAGAACAAATTATATATTAGGGAAGGGTAACCAAAAATGGCTGTATTATCATACTGTATATATGAAAGCTTATACAGTGCGCTATACTTGCATCCTGAAGAAAATATACATATTAAGCCCTTTATTACAGCATTTTTCATTATAAATATGCAGATTAAGAGAATGAGTGTTTTAGGCAAAAAGTTTCGATCTGTTTACAAAAGTGATATTCTAAAACAAGCCTGCCTTTGCAAATTCACTTCCCATCTCCTTGGTTAACTGAAGAGATAAAATAGTCAGTAAGAATAGTGTATAAAAACATATTTTAGTCCACTGATTATGGAAAACTTTACATTTAAATTTCTCACTAAATACCATGTTTCTTGGCTAGGTGGGTTAGGAAGATACTTGCAAAAGTACTGAACTCCTGGAAGGTAAATATACAAGACAGATGACAATTGTAAGACATATCCTTCCAGGTGAGCATGGGTATTGTTTTAACCTCTCCGCATGCTTTTTGTGGAGGAATTACAGGGATTGTAGAGGAATTGTAGGCATCAACACAAGTGGATTCATCTCCCATTCACAACTTTCCCAGTGTGGTCAGGCAGGACGGGTAGGTAGGTCTTGTTAGAGATGTGTTTGTATGAACTTATCGGCAGGCACAGGTTTCCACCGACATATTGGGATATACCTTCAAAACAACGTTTTTGTTCTCATCTAAGAACAGGACACTGAGGGAGCTCATTTTGTCAGGAACACAGCAGGGCTCTGGGATGCCGGGAATGATTCCCACTGCTTTTACGATGCTCTGGATTGTAGCATGGTTTGATGGTCGGACAACCTGGAACAGAGAAGGAAATGGTTATTGCTTCACTGATAAGTAGCTGCTTTTCCAAAGCAGCTTGGGAAATGATACAATTCTGTTATTTGTCTTGAAAAATTTAATATATGTGATTGAGTCACAGGGCCATGCAACATAGCCATGTGCTCACATTTTCAGCTTTTCTGCAGAGGATGTATCCAAGTTTGTACTCCGTATGCTGCTTTCATAAATACCAGAGGAGGGCACTGGTGGCACAGCCAACAGTCAATAGCTTAGAAAAAGAGAAATGTCCATGGCTGCACCTATTAAGTGCTGGAGACAGGCATGCAGGGAAAAGGGCTAAGGTGGGGCAGACTTCTCAGTTGCAAGATGTTCTCTCGTGTTCTTAACCTCTTATCTGACTGAGAAAATTGGCTCCTCTATTTCCAAAGTAAGTATGTTCCAGTACTGTTGCTCTTCACATACACTAACCTGGAACTAGTTACTTTTTCCCTATACTAATTACTCTGTTTTAAAAGAGTGCTCCAGAAACAGCCTCAGCAAAGGGAAGTTGATCTAGAATAGACAAACAAGCTCACAGAGCCTTTTCAGATCATAAGCCTTTGCAAACTAGTACTGTTACCTACAGTTTTGATAGTTTTCAACAGATTTGGTGTACATGGCATCTGGGGGACAACAAACAAGGACTTTGCAAAAATCAACATGGAAGCAGATACTTTAAGTGAAAAGAATTAGATTAAGTTAAGGAACAGTTGAAAGCTTTAATTTAAGTGACATCATTTGAGTCATTACAAGGATGGACTGTGAAATCACCTTTCTGCTTTGTTGTTTCAAGACAGCATCCATATCAAGACAGTCCCAAGAAATAACTGGTATTGGAAAGAGCCTTTCTGTAATTAGCATGTGTTTACATAATTAGCAACAGTTTGCTCTCTTAGATTTCAAAGCTGTCCAAAACCAAACAGCAGTGAATTAGCCTTGAAGCTGTGGCTTGAAGTAGAAATAAGCTTCTATCCACATTGGCCATGGCTGCCAATCTGGACAGCAATAGAGACAGAAGTAGCCTTCATGTATATAAACAACCGCAGAGTTTAGAAATTCAAAGAACTGGAGCTTCTAGAATCTAACTCCTGCATTAACCTTTACAAAAAGCTCCTCAAGGAGTCCTAGCTCCCTTATTATAGTGTTACTTGAAAGTCACAGATCTTAATGGGCTACTGAAAGAATTTGTTGACCCCATACCACAAATAACCACCACTGCCCTCAGTGCCAGTAGCTGTCTTGTAGAACTCCTTTTAATGAACCTGCAGAAGATCCTATTAGGACCTTCTCCAGCCATACAGCCTCTAGGATCTGCAGGGAACAAACAGATGTGGGCCAAGTCTAGTGAGAGCAGCTGTCACCCCTGAAACCAGTTAGAAACAATTCAGCTTGAGTAAATCAAGCTACTAAGACGACAGCACTAATTAGGTTTCTAATGCCTGCAAGCGTACACATTATGAGCAACAATGCTTAAAGAGAAAGCTGCTTATTATGGACTATTACTTGGTAGAAAATCTGGCTGCCTGAGCCCTACATCCACAGTGGAGCCAAGCAGCACACCCATCCCACATCCAGCCAAGCTCCAAATGTTCCAGCCCTTCTGGAAATCTGGCCCAAGTGCTTAGTGATCTTGGGTTAGGCTTCACATTGGCTTTTGTACCGATGTGCTAGAGTGGAAAGCTTGAAAGACCAAGATGAATGCCCGGTAGTGATGGTACTGGGCAGGCACTTGATGACTTAAATGCTGGCTACAAGTTAAATAAAGCAGGCTAGGTTCTGCTCTTTTTTAACCTCTAGGACAGTCCTAGATGGGGGAAATTCTGAACCTCAGAAAACAGGAGGGTGGTGATGCAGTTGAAAAACAAGTCTGAAATACTTCAGCTCACCTTCCCTGGTTTGTACCCCTTCTAGAGTCTGCTTTGTCATGAATTTGCCCATTAGAAAACACCCTGTCACATCTTAATAAGCACATGGTCTGAACTTGGGTAGACCTGTGCGGTGTCAAGAGTTGGACTTGATGATCCTTAAGGGTCCCTTCCAACTCAGGATATTCTATGATTCTATGACTACTTCTTAGCTTCGGGAAAGCTTTGTTTTCATTTCAAGAATGGAATTCAAACCTGAAACTCATAAATTGATTCTCTTACAAGGATTAAAAATTGAGTATTCTGATTACTGTAGATCAGGGAGAAGGTTTGGACAAACACTGGTTTCTGATGTTTAATGTTACCAAAATAAACTTATTACACTGTTCCAGCTAGAAACATGTCCATCGTGTTTTGGTTCTGTTTCCTCTTCTGTCATACTAGTTTGCCCTCAGGAAGCCAGGTGTTTGTTTTTTTTTTTTATTATTTATTTTGTATGTATGAACCATGCATCAGATTATGGCTGAGGACCCATATTCCCAGGCTGGGTTTTGCATTGGGTAAGTTAAATGGTCATGGTGCTGCATAATATCCTATACTACAACAGAGCAGTGAAATTGTATGTGAGCCTCTGCAAGCTCTAATTTTTACCAGATCATGTATGAGTTTGTGTACCTGGTTGAGCATTGGCCAGCAACACAAGAACATAGAGTCTGGGCAGATTTCTGCACCCCACCCTGAAATCCACATTTCTGCTGTTCCTGGACTTAAACTACTAGCCTGCGTATTCTCTCTTCCTGCAGTCATACTACTGATTTCAACGCAAACACACCAGACTCCCTGTAGGGCAGATTCCTGTCTCAGATCTTTGATATTCTTTGTTGTAAACCACTATCAATTATTCATGGGCAGATTGACCATGTGCAAAATTGGCAGTTAAATGAATAATCAGACCATTTGTAGGTAGAAACGTAAAATTATTAGTTTTTGAACATGCACATTATGCAGTGCTTTGAACCTCCTTCCCCCTTTATCTGAAAGCCCTGTAAAATGAGAGAACTTTTGTATTTTATAGAATTGCCAAAATCTCTACTTTTTGCCAAAGGGCAAGTGAGTTGGGAGTAGGCCAAATCAGAATTCCACTAGAATTCAAAAACTCTTTGCCTCTTTATTAGGAAATTTCACACTGCTTCTTGAGGAGGAATTCAAAACACCAAAGTCAGAGTGTTACAGACAGCTATTTGGCATTTTCAGCCACATATGGAAAAGAAACTTTTTTCTAGTTTGAGCAGAATTTTCTCAATTTTAAGACTTTGACAAATTAAAGAAGCACCAGAGAACTTTGAGACAAATATAAGTGTAAATAGCATTCCTCTTCTCAAGGTGACAGGCAGTTTCTTAAAGTATGTGTCACTACTCTGCATTTTTTTCCTAAGGTATTACCAGTAGAATTCAGAAATACTCTGATAGAGTAACCTGTTTTATTAGTTTTAATACTGACTACTTCTGCTGCCACACAGGAGTAGTTTGATTCTTCAGTGTGCATAACCATATTTTAATGAACTGTGCAAGTCTGTTGTGGTTTCAAGATATAAAATAAGGATTTCTAGAAGAAGTTATTTTACCTGAGACATTTTTCTTATAAAGTTGTTAAAAAACAATATTGCTTTTTTTCCCATCTAAACAAAGTATGGTGAGATGGTAAAAGTCTAAAGGTAAAAATCTAGCTAATGAAGTAGTTGGAAAGGCAGAGCAGTACTATTTGCAAGCTAACAAGAGTGAAAAGGTGTACTACCTTAGGCATTGGAAATTCACATGTCCCTGCACAATAGTAGGCATCAAATGATTTGGGAGATATGATCCATTCATTCCAGCCAATGTCAGCAAAGTCAACTTTCATATATCTTCTTGAA